TTGATTCAGGATTTAAAAAAGTTTCAGTACAGCATTTGATTTTACCGCAACTGTGACTGTCTCGTGTGCACATCGCACAGTGCTCATGCAGACAGGAATGCGCTAATGGCAGATATGCCTAAACAGAGATGCGCAGAAACAGTTTGTTGACAGACAGTTTGGGCTGTGTTGGTCCATCTGCATTTAATTGGATGAACATTTTTTAGTTTTATGCCTTACCCAGAATATAAAAATGCTTATAAACACATTTAGATCATTTACTTTAATTATTGCTATTGGAATGTGAAGAGACTTTTAACCAGCACAACAAAACATGTTTCTGAAGACAATCACCTGCTGCACCTTTAAAATGCAAAGAAATAAACAGTAATTCAATGCCCTGCTACATTTGTTATTCGTAATTTCATTTACAAATAACCACAATTTGTTATATCATCATAGATATAATTGTGTTTATACAAACACTAAACGAGTAGGACTTCTCTCCTCCTAAATCCCCAGGTCTGAATGCAGAAATGGTGGATAGCACTGCAGTATGTCTCTTGCCGTGTCTATTTCGACCATTAGTCCTGCCGGTAATCTGGATGATTTTAAACATATGGTAAACACATCAGCATGGGTAAAGGCAATGTGTCTAAATGGTAACCATTCTCCAATTCTTATACAGTTCTCTCGACAAAAATGCTTGCTGCAAACCAACAACTTTGCTGTATCAGCCCTGACAGACATTTAACTCACTATAAGAAACTTTTCAAGTTCATGTCAATCACCAACCCTAACCCTAACCCCAACCTAACAGCCTACATATAATCTAATCAGAATTAGTTGGCATTTAGGTGGAATGTAGCTTATGGGTGCTTTCACACCTGTGAATTGATTAATTTATTCTGAAACAGGGATTAAAATTGTTACACAGTTGTACTTTGTTCGTGATGCGGATCACTTTCTCATGGCCAAAATAGTTAAAAATAGTCAAAACAACAACAGTAAAATAGTTTAAACAAGTCTTGTGCGAGTAAACTCTCCTCATATTGGTCAGAGTTTCCGGATTTATTTTATAGAGTCCTGCTCCGCTGTCATGCTTCCTTATTTCAATTTATGACGATGAGAAATAATACATTTCAAGCCAAAATCTGCTCTTTAATTTTGAATGGTGACACTCTCAGATGTCGTCCCTAAATATAGAGTAGAGGTAAGACTTTCTCATACAGAGCAGTTGGCTCATGCATTATAGGCTTTACATTATAGAGAGAAATAACAGATAAACTACTGCAGTTCGGTCAATTTTCCTAAACGATAAACAGCTCTTGTTAATAGTGCAGCATATTTTTACCGGTAGGAATGTAATCCCACCCTACTCATCATTCTCTCTTCATATAGCCGTATATGTCAATTATATATCAATAATACACTGTGATATAGCCAAGCTTGGATTGTATCGCTTTCTCACTACAATCGATCCGCTCTAGAGTTTGTTTCAATCGAGCCGAGACCACCTTACTCAGGCGACCTCGGAGCGATTGTTTTGGCATGGATCCAAAAGTGATTGCTGGATTCACATATGCCAAAAGAACTGCATTAACTGGGCAAATGAGACAGGTTCCTGAACAAAAGTCTAGATGTGAAAGCACCCTTAAATTAAACAAACGGACCATCGAAATAAACTGTGACCAAAACATGCAACAAACCGACACGACCCGTGCCATGCATGAACGCGGTCTCACCCAGTTATTGGGTCTCACAGGTTGGCAGGCCTGCCTTCGCCTCGGAAAGCACGTGCTCTTATGAATAATTTAGAAGCAGGGTCTTCTCATAGGATAAGAAAACTTTGCTATGAATAATAATAAGAAACTGATGCTTCATCACTCCAGATTTGCACTACGTCACCAATTTTGATTCCACCCCAAAATTTCTTTTAAACCCTGAAGTTGAAATTAGTAGGCAAAAACTTAAAATTATCTTGGTTTCCCCACAGTTAAAGCTGACAGGTGCTAAATTGTCTTAACTGATGTTCAACACACACAAATCTGTTAAAATTATTTTAAAAAGTACTCCAGGGTGTCCTGAACCTTTAAAAGTGCCTGTAAAAATGACATGAGTCCATATTTGTATCTTAAAATTAGATTTGTTTATTAATTGTTTATTTTAGAGTGTAGATCCCATAAAATATTTTATAATTTGTTGTATTTGTTTTTTTTACTGTTTTCCCCAATGCAATACTGTATATATAACCTATAGATTATTCTTTCATTCATTCATTTTCTTTTCAGCTTTGTTCCTTCATTATTCAGAGGTCACCACAGCGGAAACGAACCACCAACTTATCCAGCACATGTTCTACACAGCAGATGCCTTTCCAGCCGCAACCCCAAATTGGGAAACACCCACACACTCTTGCACACTCCCATACACTACGGCCAATTTAGTTTAATAAATTCACCTTTGGAGCATGTCTTTGGATTGTAGGGAGGAAAGGTTTTCCCGGAGGAATTGCCAACTGACCCAGCTGGGGCTTGAACCAGCGACCTTCTTGCTGTGAGGCGATTTTGCTACCCACTGCACCACCGTGCTGCCCCACATAGATTAATTGAATGAAAATATTAGCAATTGATACTTTCAGTATCATCTTTGGTTGAAATGACACAATCCTGTTCATATTAAATAAGCCTGCTCCCGAAAAGGTTTCAGCTATCAGACCTGTTACTATGACAACAACACTTGAATTGATTTTCAACGAATCCTGGATTGTCAAATCATTAATGTTAAAAAATTTAAAACTGCTTCAGTCAAGTTGATGTTCCATTTAGTTCATGTAAATGTTACTGCTGAAAGCCAAAATACTAAACACTGAACAGCAACTCCACCAATGCACAGCTCCACAAGTCCCAAACCAAGCAAACCAGTGGCGACAGTGACAAGGAACAAAGTAACAATTTTATAGTCTACGTTAAAGAGCTACTTGTTCCTACCCTTTAATTATAGTTTAAATGATGTAATCTGATTTACACTCATGGGCCACTTTATGTCCAACTTGCTCATTAATGCAAATTTCTAATCAGCAAATTACTTGGCAGCACACCTCAATGCATTTAGGCATTTAGACATAGTCAAGATGATCCGCTGCAGTTGAAACTGAGCGTTAGAATGGGGAACAAAGGTGATTTACTGTAAGTGACTTTGAAAATGGCATGGTTGTTGGTGCCAGACGGGCTGGTCTGAGTATTTCAGAAACTGCTGATCTACTGGGATTTTTACGCAAAACCATCTCTAGGATTTACGGAGAATGGCCTGAAAAAGAGAAAATATCTAGTGAGGTGGTGGTGTAAGAGATATTTTCTTGGCACACTTTGGACCCATTAGCCTACTTGAGTATTGTTGCTGACCATGTTCATCCATTTATGATCAGTGTACCCATCTTCTGATGACTACTTCCAGCTGGTTAAGTCGCTATGTCATAATGCGTAAATCATCTCAGACTGGTTTCTTGAACATGAAAATGAGTTCAATGATGTCTGAGGAAGTTCTGGGGGAAAAAAAAGGGGTCCAGCCCGGTACTAGTAAGGTGTACCTAATAAAGTGGCCATTGAGTGTATGTATAATGTTAAATAACATTATTTATACATTTTTTAAACCTGATTATATTAATGTTACCATAAATAACATTTTTATTATCATTAAACTATTGGTAGCCTATGCATTACCACTTTAAAAGACCAAATTCAGTTATCAAAATATGCAGGCAAGCAGATAGTCCTAATATCCTAATTTAGACAGATTTGCTAAAAGCTAATTTGTTTACTTATTTACTAATATAAAATAAGGTACATTTTATTAGTAAATTGGCAAGGGGATTAGCTTTTTTCAGAAACACTAGATGACACAAAAAATTTTTGCTATAGTGTGATTGTTTGGTTATTATAGTAAGTCACACATTATCTAAGGTAGCCAATGTTTTCTTCAATGGCAGAGCCACAGATCCTTGCATCTTTTTTACAGCATCATCTCTGGTGAAGCAGGTGTATAGAACTTCTTCAAAAAGTTACTACAGCTATCATCTATGGCCTGGCATGCACAACATTTTGAGTAATTTTTTTTACATATAGCCTAGTTGTAACACCCTGTTACAACCAACTCTGTGTCGAGTTTTTCTCAATCGGGCTAGAAGTCACTGTGTGTTTTTACATCTTTTAAAATGGTTTCATATTTTAGCCTAGAAGACGGTAATCACAACAATATAAGATTTTAGATACATACAAGATTTACATACATGTTTTTTTTATTTAAAAAATATACACTGTTATAAAAAATAATTTTAGGCTGCAAAAATGGTTTCTCCTGTGTTTCTCATCTTGCTTGATTATTTCACTAGTGCTTAAATAAGATACATTAATAGATACAAGATAAATAATATTTTAAAGTGTTATTTTATTGTTGAAGTGTAAAACTCTGGGTGTGCGAAAAGGTGAAAACAGGTGATTTTGACACCTAAAAGGAGGTTGAAAAATATGAAAAAAATATTGTACATTTTTTTAAAAGTAGGCTTTATTGTTAGTTTGACAAAGATTGTATTTGGATATATGATCAAAGGCCATAAAAGTGCCCTAGTTAAATAATTACCCAGCTACTATTTAAAATAAATTGGATTTAAATTAATTGTGTGAAATCTGCCTTTAAAGCACGTATTACAACTAACCCTCTGTCTGTTAAAACATGCCCCACAATGCAATAGTTAAGCCGTCAATAGGTAGGTTTGGTATATCTAGTTTTTTTATACATATTTAATTTCCCGCAAAGAAAAAAACTAAAGACAAGTGCTTGTCTTCTTGTTGTATTTCACAGAGAATCATATTTTCGTTTGTACAAATTTAAATGATTTTTTCAAAGTAAAACATAAAGAAAAGCAATTGGTTGATACCTCAATATCTGTTACTGTTGAAGACGAAATGTGCACGTGTGAGAAGGCGCTGATGAGGCAAACCGCTGACATTCAACTCATTACCGTCTGTCACTCAATCATCAGTAATGGGAGGGATTTAGGGAAACCAATGTCATATTTATATGCTACTGAACGCTGAAATATAGGGGACATCTGCAATAAAAGTAAGATACAGAAACCGTAGCCTGTATCGGAGTTGTAAGAAGTAGATTTTTTGCGCTTTAGAGAGACACCATGGATGATAGAGAAGCGACACGCTTCCCTCTTAAACACAGATTCAAGGATTTATTACTTCGTGAACAAAACGACCCCAAGTAAGTGCTGAAATTCATATCTGTTCAGCTAAAAAAAATAAATGTTCACAGTTTCTGATGTTTTGGTATCTTTATCAAGTTGTTGACTAAATAAATATTGCACGTTTAGTGTCAGTTAATATTTTATTCATGCTGCAAAATGATTAAATCGATCTTTTTTTTTTTGTTTGTTTGTTTCAAGCTTAATTACTAGTAGACTCTCGTTTGAATTTAACAGAATTTGTTATATTTATATATTAGTATATTTATCTATTATATATTAGTTATTATTAATAGATAATTATTGCACATGTATTATATTCTTTCTTTTAAAAAGTCGTAGATTGTTTGTTTCTAAAATTATGTTCATTATAATAAAAAGTGAATTATAATAAAAAATATTTACTAGCACATTGTCGTTCGAATTTTAACAGCAGAATTATTGCACATGTATTATATTCTCTTTAAAAGTCGTAGCTTACATCATGTAGTTTGTTGCTGAAAATATGTTTAATAAAACATAAAAAGGTAAGAAAAAAAAAACTTTCTGCATTATCAGAAAAAGCTAAAACATTCCTAACAATAATTTATAATGACTTTAATTTAGAAAAATAATCAATAAAATTTTTCAGTTTAATAATGAATTAGAAAATAATTCATAGTCACTTCTGCCATGATCTCTTTGTTCTGTTTCCTACTAATATTAGTTTGTGTGTTATCCTATTAATTCCTGTTATATCATATTAGTCTTGCACTAATTTTTCGTTTCCTCAGTTTTTTTGACTGATTTTGTTTAAGTTGGTGTGTTTCTCAATGGTTTGATTGTTTTTTTGTACTTACTAAGGTCTTTCTATTGCATTCATTAATGATAATCTTCCTGTGTTCTTGGCAATGTACCAAGACAATTACAGTCAAGCCTTTAAAATTAAAGCAGCAGTCCAATAATAAAAAAGATAACATTCAAAAACTTTAAATCGAGTTTTCAATTCACGTAGATTTGTTTTAAGATGTCCTCACAAAACTCATCATTGCATGGTGATTGTTGACTATTTTTGGTACATTGTCAAGAACACCCCACAATTATTATTAATAATGAATGCAATATGAAGCCCTTAGTAAAGTATAAAAAGCAGTTAAACACTATCAGGGAAAACTATAAGAGTACATCAGTGGTATCTCTTTCATTTTAAATGTGTTTATTTTAATAGTCCTTCTTTGGTTCTTGTTGTATTTATGTCCTCTTATTCTCTTTGACATATGCAGCAGCAATATTTATAGAATAATAACAGAAATTGAAAATTAACCACATGTGATTTCAATATAAATCTCCATTTGACTTGAATAACCTCGCCTATTCTCTTAGATCGAAAAAGTCCTACTAAGTCCACTTTAAGATTAATGGATTTCCTTTTTGCTTACAATTTATTTATTTGTGTGTTTTGTGTGTTTATGATTCTGTTTTCCTATTAAGCTGTAGACTGTGGGTGGTGATTCAAGCGAGCTGCTTGTTTGTCTATTGTTTAGTTTTATTGTGGTTTTGATGTGTTGTGCTTTGTTTTTATGTACGTATGGTTTATTACTAGAAAATGAGATGGTTCATCTCAAGAGGACAGTTACAACAAATATATAAGAAGAAGAAATGCAGGTTATTTGGCATAATTTACAAACATTTACAGTTGATCATTGTCTAGCATTAATGGCATTGTATGCACAACAATTAAGACCATTCTAAGCAACAAAGAATGGCTGTTTGAGATGTTCATGTGAGCAGAATACCATTGTAGAAATCAGCAAACTCTAACTAATCTTCACACTAAAGAAGCTCCTCAGCTCTCATGGCTCAGATCCATGAATTTCAATGAAGCTAAGAGGCTGAGCAAATTGGTTTGAGTGAGGTCACAGTCACTCAGATCTCATGAGCCTCTCCCTACAGCAAGATGAATCCCCAGTGAGAACCAGCATTTATTGTCTGTTGTGAGTGGGTTGATCTTCTTCTGGGGCTAGTGGAGGAGGAGCTTCCCGATGATATTATTGTTGGCTTCCATTTAGAGATGCCCACTGAAAGGATTAGGACAGGGGTGCTCAATCCTGCTCCTGGAGATCTACCTTCCTGCAGATTTCAGTTGCAACTCATATCAATCACACATGTCTGTAATTATTAAATGCTGTTTAGGTCCTAATTAATTAGTTTAAGTGTGTTTGATTAGGGTCAGATCTGAACTTTGTAGGAAGGTAGATCTCCAGAAGCAGGGTTGTGCACCCTTCATTAGGGCATTGTTGGGTTGTCAAAACTATTGAGTTTGGCACCAGTAGCTACTTATATTTTAATAAATGTCCATTTCCCGCTAACATCTGAGTGCTGTTGAGTGCACTTAAACACTGCTGATTGGCCATTGTGTTCACATGCTCAACAGAAATGACTGTGATTGGACATGATGGTCATCGGTTCACCACTCTTCACCAAGTGCAAACACAAATGCATGAATATGGGATTGTTTCAAAGCCAAGACAGATTAGCCGATCTATATCTTTGAAATGCTTCAGAGTCCATTTATGTATTTGTGTTTGTACTTTTGAAGAAAGGTGAAGAGTGCTGAACCGATGACCATCATGGCCAATCACTTCTGTGGAGCATGTGAACACAATGGCCAATTAGTGGTGTTCAACAGTGAGTAGCTCAACAGTACTGTAATGTTAGAAGCAAATGTTCCAAAATTCATTAGAATTCAGTAAAATTCCAGTACCGATTGGTCAACCCAGGCTCATTCTGAAAACGTACCCCTATATACAATTCTGGAGAGAGCAAAATACGTCCCAGGAGAAATTTCTCTCGCGAGTTTTATTTACCCTTGCTGTTCTCATCTAAATCCACAAGAGGCCTCTGTTGACTAACTACTTGACTACTTAACTAACTACTTGACCAACCGACTGATCCCCCACCCTCCCTCTTCCCTAAACCCAACCAATAATATTTTAAAAAGCACCTATTGACCCGCCGACCACTTTGCCTAAACCCAACCGTCTTTTGAAATACAATCCAGAAAAACAAAAGCCCCCTGATTTTTACCACATTTTCAGATTTTACCACATTCACACCCTGTTATTTACTTGTTTATTTTATTTTTTGGCCTTTGTCTTTTTCTTACCTGCTTTCTAAGCCATTCTTCACCGCACTCGAATTCCCATATGCGTCAAGCTACTGGACAAACATAACAGCAGGAAAGCCGTCCAAATGGATGTAAGTGGTTAGCTGGTAACGGTGTCATACCGCCCTGTAGCATTCATTTTCTGGCTACATACTGTAATTGGCAGTCTCCAAAAATGTATATAGGGCTATGTCTTCAGAATGAGCCTATGCTGCAATTGGTACTGAACTCGATACTTTTGACAACCTAGTGTGTCTCATCCTGGACTTGATCTTTAAACAGTGCCCTAATCAGTGGCTATTCACAAATGTTTTTTATCAGTGTGTCTGAAAGATGTTTATTTTTGTATCCACGGCATGACATGACTGTTTATTATCAACATCACAGACACTTGGCTGGTTCTGGTCCAATCGAAGCACATGTCCCTGCTTCTCAGTTATTTAGAACAGTTGTGATTAAAGGTCAATCTCCTTAAAAGTTCACTTTTGGCGATGAATCTCATTTTGGGGCGCATTCATCAATAAAATCCCAAGGCTTGGTCCTGAGGCTGCTTGCCAAAGTGGTGCTCCTCTGCCTCTCAAATTTCCAGGACTTGGTACCTGTGATAGGTCAACCGTAGTCTGCGCTACATCAAGCTTTTGGCCCCTTGAATGTCAACAGATCTCAACCAGTCAGGAGTGAGCCTGAAGATAGTTTCCTGAAATAATTAACTATGACAAATGTTTTTGATTATTGCTGAGGCACTGCATTTGATAGCAGCTCCGTGTTAGCTTCCTGGACAGATAAGGAATTATACTGACACATAAACTGCCTGAAGATGATGGTGGTTTTTTTGGAATTCAGAACCTTCTTGCTTTACTTGATGTGAAGGGTCACCATGTCCTGGTTGAAATAGACATCATGATAGTCGTATTGGTAGCCTATAAGGAAGTTGGACTCCCTCGTAATCGAAAAGTTGCAGGTTTGATTTCCAGTCCCAACAGGAATTGAAGATGGATGGAGTGAATGAGCCACACTCTCTCCATCTTCGATGTATCGATCTAACCCCTAATTGCTCCTTGGATGCTGGAAACAATAGCCGCGTTTCCTCTATTGCGCCTAAAGAGAGTGAGCCAATGCCAGTCTTGTTTCCACTGTCACTTTTGGAGCCTGACCAGGTCAAAGGGCTTCCTCGGGGCCAGCGGCCGCCTTTTTCGGCCTTTGAAATATGATTTATAAAGTATTTGGATATGATGATGCTGATCAAATTGTGCAAACAGAGCATTTTTTTTTTTTTTTTTGTGAAAAGCAGAAAGCAAAAAAGGCCTTCTTTTCTGTCATCCTGAAAAGAAGTGTCATATGTGTCATATGTTTTAGGTCTCTCCGGAGCATTTGGGCTGAATGTTTGATGACGTCTATCAAAATAGATTGATGCGATTACTGTGCTGGGTTTCTCTGTTAGTGGCGAGACCACTCGATGCACAATGCCAAATGTCGGTCGGCGAGTAAACAAATATAATGAATGGAAATACATACGCCTGTGCATATAGACATACAAGACATACAATGTAATGCATGTAGACATATAGACATACAATGTAATGCAGTACAATAACGTGTCATTTGTTTGTTTCGGTTGTCTTCATTTTAATCGTTATGTGATGGTGTGCTTTATCTGCCTGATTCCCGCTGAACTGGGCGGGTTGTGTATGTGAGACGTTTGATTCGGGGGACAATTTGTGGGCAATGTTTGCCACCGAAAGTGAAAACGCAACATGATTTTGGCCTAACTACTCAACCTCCCAGGCGATTGGCCTGGCCTGGCCCGATGAAAGCCCTGGCTCGCACTGGCCCGATAGTGAAAATGCGGCTAATAGCTGCCTACTGCTCTGGGTGTATGCTCACTGTGTCCTCAAAAATACAAAAAAGTGTGGGTGCACTTGGATGGGTTAATGAAGTATGGGTAAAACCATACTTGACAAGGCTCACTTCACTTTTATTACTGTAGTGAGGCATCTTCTAGTATAGGCATAGCCCAACCTTCCCTATTGTGAGAGCTGAACTTATAACTGGACATGTTGTCCTGGAGCAGAGTGTCTCTAAGAGAATGGAAATAGACCCCAAGACTAAATGATTTTTGGTATATTCATTGGCATTTTCCAGTGTTTTTTCCAGGAAAAATGCTACAGTGGCCCAAGTCCACCGTATGCCATTTCTATTGTAACCACACTCCTTCAGGATATGAGACAAATCAGAAAGTACAGATGCTCAGTTGTTTTACTTGTCCTGCTCTGTCAGAACCAATCCAGATCCAATTCCTAGAGTTGGTACAACTTATGTTAGCATCTCTATAACAGATTCCTCCTAGGAAGTACTCTCCTTCTAAATCCGAGTACTGAGACCACTCAATGTGTATCTGCATGTATTCCACAATATAAACAACATTGCAGAGGCCAGACTATCTTATTCTGTATTTGACTGCTTTACATATTTTATTTATTATTGTACAATCATTTCAGTTACTAAATATACGGTATATTTTACAAATAAAATCAATTTATAAGAAAAGAAACAGTTGACACGATGGCACAGTGGGTAGCACGATTGCCTCACAGCAACTGGTTTGAGCCCTGGCTGGATCAGTTGGAATTTCTGTGTGAAATTTGCATGTTCTCCATGTTCACGTGGGTTTCCTCTGGGTGCTCTGGTGTCCCCCACATTCCAAAGATATGTGGTATATAGGTGAATTTAATAAGCTAAATTGGCTGTAGTGTATGTGTCTGAATGAGTGTATGGATGTCTCCCAGTGTTGGGTTGCGGCTGGAAGGGCATCCGCAGCATAAAACATATGCTGGATAAGTTGGTGGTTCATTTCGCTGTGGCAAACCCTAATTAATAAAGGGACTAAGCCAAAAATAAAATGAATGAACAAATAGAACATGTGCATCAGGTTTTAATCACCTTTTAACCACCTTAAGGTTTTAACAAGAGTAATAGTAGTTTAATAATTATTCAATAGCTAATTGTCATCCATTTGCGTTGCTGCATAGGTTTCAGGTTGAATTCCTTGTCAAAGAAAGTAGTTTCAAAGAACGTCTCCAGTGGTACTTGATCAAAAACCAACGATCAAGTAAGTTTTTATTAATATTACATTTCTTTTCCTGAAAACTTCTCAAATGTTGAATCAATAAATTTTATGAAAATAAATTTTAAAGGACATTGTCTGGTTCCAAAAACATTCTACACTAGTTTAACATTTAAGTTATTTGAAGTATTTTTAGTTCATAATAGAAAATGTGTTTTGTTGAAATATTTATTCATATTAAAATTTCAAAATGTCTTGGAAAGTTATGTCTGATAAAACTGTCTTAAATGATTCCTAAACACTATTTGTACTCCTCAGGTCTCAGTGTGAGAGTGTTTTATCTGTCACTCAAGGTGTTGAGCTGTATTTTGTATGTATCCAGAGTGCTGACTGACTGTAAACATCAGACACAATGGTAGATATATTTTGAATTGTTTGATGGACAGACATTTTCTTAGGAAGGGTCATAAGCACATGTGATTGTTCCCATCAGATTTTTTTTTTGTCGTCAGTTAATACATTCACTTTGGGTATTTAATAAGCTTTAAAGAAAGAAAATGGAAAAAGTTGAGAATCTTCACTAAATAATGAATTCACTGTTCTTTCTCTAATTTCTTATCTTCCATTTTCTACAACTACCTACAGTATAACATACTTTTATGGTGGCTTGAGAAAGCCAACATACTGTTAGACTACATAAACATATTATTCTTTCGTCTTCTTCTTCTTCTGAGACTAATGTCTAAAAGCATCTCCTCCTAGACCGTTCATACTACAACCCCTAAACTAACACTAAACCTCCTAACTGCTCTGACTCGGGTTGCTATATCTTTTCCAACTAATCCAACTTACGGTTTTCCGAAAACTGACTGTCATACTGATCACTGATTACCTTTTAACTTACTAGCCGCACCCTAGCAACCACTTACGGAACCTTAGCAATTGTCTTATAGACTTCCATTGTAAAAAACTGTCATTGACTTTACATTGGACATACTAATAACATACCAATTCATACTAGTAATATACTAATCAACACTAGAAACATACTAACATACCAGTCCATACTAGAATATTAATCCATACTAGCGACATACTAATTCATACTATAAACATACTGGTAGCATACTAATTCATACTAAATTCATGCTAATTTATACTAGAAACATGTTAGCGACATGCTAATTCATATTAGAACCATGCTAACAACATGCCAATTTATCCTAGAAACATGCTAGCAACATGCTAATTCATACTAGAACTATTGTAATTTATGTTAGCAACTGCCTAGCAACCACTCAGAACACCTTAGCAACCTCCTAGCAACCCCTTAGCAACCCCTCAGAACACCTTACCAAACATGCCATTCCAGAAACCTACAAACCTTATATGTAGTTATCGATCTATGCTGTTTCAAACCTCTTAAAATGACGTTAATTATTTAATTTTTAAAGCTACTTCAAAGTTTCAGACTAGGATTTCTCAAGCCACTATAAAGTTTGTCCACTAACTTTACTCTTCTAGTTTATATATATTGTTTTGTGTGGTATAAAACTAGAAACAACAGTATTGTTTCATTATGGACAAGTAACTTTTGATTCATGTTTACAAAGTTTTTCCTTTCAGTTTACATAATGCTATGGAAATTACTGCTCCATAATGAAATTTGCTTCAAAATAAAACATGTTCTCTTCTCTTAGCTCAAGCCATCACGGTAACTATACCCTGCTTGAAATCGACTGGTGTGTATTCCAAGAAATTCATTGTGAAATTGCTTTTATTTACTTATTTATTTATTTGCAGCTTTTTAATAATCCTTTATTGTTACCAGGGCTCCGGTTATTTGGGTTGATCGAAATGAAATACTTTGGGCTGTACAGGTATTCTTATAAATCTTACTTAACATCCAAAATCTTTTTGGTTTGTCTGTCACTGCAGTGTTTTTAAATGATTTTGTGAAAAGTTTGCATCATAAAACTGATGTAAGGATATTTAATATTATTTGTATTAATGAATGAATGTATTATGACAGAGCTATTTGTTTTAGGTGTCTGTTGCTGTCATTTGTTTATTCATGAGAATCCTACTGACATATCTACGATACAGGGTATGAATTGTATTATTGCTGTGTCTATAATGTCAGCCTCTAATGTCAGAAGCATTATCTAAGCAATGACCCTGAAAAAGACAATCTAATTGTAGATTTTATATGGAACCATTGATAATATTTGTGCTAATGTGTTTCTTTGATCTAGGGTAACATATTGCAGCAGGTACTTCAAATGGCGTTTATCTTGGAATTGATTGACACCGTGCCTTTTGTAATTGGAGTAAGTATACTGTATATAATCAGAAAACAAACACTAATAAAGCTAACAATAATATTCTAGTCATGTTGACATTGCCACATCTGAGCAAAATTGTTTAATACATAAGAATGCAGGGGTAAGATTTTACAATAAGGTACCATTAGTTCAGTTAGCGATTAACTACATCCAGGAGGTTGTTATCCCAGAATAAAGCCCAACAGGATTACTGGCAATTGGATGCTAATAATTCTAATAATTGGATGCAAGTATATAGATTTAAATGTATTCAATGACAGTCAATATGTTTCAAAGTTTCTGGTTGAGCCTGTGTCATTTAGTGGTTGCTATCGCAGAATAACATACCTTGGAATGTCCAGACTCACCAATCAGAATCGAGTAATCCAGACAGCATGTAATAATGATAGTTAATGTATTTACTAACCTGAACAAATAATGAAAAATCCATCTATTACAGTATTTATGCAACTTTTTTAACATCAATCAATGAAAATAAAATTGTTTGTTGTTAGTTCTTGTGAAAACACTTGAAGGATGTGTTCATAACACTTTCAAGACACCAAAATGAAGATTTCATGCATGCTTATGATAACTTAAGTTGCAATAAGTCTAGAAGTGTCGTTAGCTCAGGTTTGTCATTTTAAATGCAAAGATCGCATTGTTTGAGAAATTTAATTTATGTCATTGTAGTGGATATTAAGAATATTAATACAATTTATGACATAATTATAATAAGCTCATGAGAGTCATATTTATGACAAATTCATGACAAGTTATATTGTATTGATAATGTCAGTGTCATGACAAAGACAAGTTATGGTGTATTTGTTTATGTCAAGTTGTCATGATAAAGACTTATCATCCAATATCATCTTTGCATTTAAAATGACATAAAAAGTATGCCTAGACTGCAAAAGATATGGACGTAGTATTTGTGACGTCACCCATACATTTCTGAAGAGGACAAATGAAGCAACAAGTAGGCGTGGCCATCCGTCACCATTTGGTTCACGTGTCATCGCACCGACCAGAGGTTATCAAAAAAGGGCAAAGAGGCAGAACATCAGTGGAGCTACAGATACCTGCTAGCATTTTGCTTAGACAGGCTTTTCTTTGGGAGAAACGCCTAATACTTCATTACCTATGACTTATAGACTTAATATAACTTAATATAAACAAAACGTATGAGTTTCAAAAATTCACCCTCCTCTAAGTTGTCATGAAGGATACACTAAAACCAACTTTTGTACCAGGCTGTAAACATGTTTTTATCAGCTGTAAAATTGGCAAAATTAGCATTGCAGTCGATGAACATCTGGGGCCCCATCATACACCCGGTGCAATGTGGCGCTAGGCACGGCGCAATTGTTGTTTGCTAGTTTCAGCTTGGCGCAAGATTCTTTTTGACGTTTTGTTGACGTTGTGTTTAAATAGCATATGCATTTGCGCTCATATGTGTGCCCATAGGCATTCTGATTGAAAAAGGAAGAAGCATTGCTGGCTCGTTGCTATTTTGAGAAACTAAAATAGATTTTTCAATAGACCAGAACAAAGCCGGTCTAAAGTCTAGTGCAGAGCACATTAGTTGTGCGCCTTGCTTACACACACTGCTTAACACACACAAAATGTACAGCAATACGTCTTTACATATGAAAAAGAATTAAAATATTTTGGATATAATAAGGATATAAATATAAAGGATTAAAATATTGAAAACATATTATTTTCTAGCCTACATAAATATAAAAACCATACTTTTATGCCTTTTTCATCTCAGGGTCTTTTTTAGTTTATCCATGACAATTTGCTTTTGTATAATGTTATTCTTATTAGCAGTATTATTTATTACATGCATATTCATATTTGTTTTATTAAAAACAAGAATAGATTTGCCCAACTGTCAGGTTTCAGACCATATGGGGCACAGCATGTTTTAGGATATAACTCAGTTTTTTGAACACACTTCATTATTATTGTTCATTTATTCATTTGCTGGAAATTAAAACTGAATTTAGAAATAACTTTGAAACAAATCTTTGCGCTTAACAAGCTAAATTAATTATTTAAAGGCTAACTGATGTCTGTGCTTTCAAGGTTTCCCTATCCATGAGAGTGAAAGTGAAAGTAGATAATGATGAGGCCTTATCTCTCATTCTCGCGCTGCAGATGCTCTGTTTAGCTGTTTTCTTGCTAGTGAAACGCGCAGTTTGTCCACTTACAAAGTCTGTTATGTAAATAGCAAATGCGCTTATGGCGTGACGCAACTGACTCTTATAAGGAATGAGAGATGAGACTCTGATTGGTTTATTCTCAAAACACACCTATAACTCATTAAGAAAATAAGCTCAACCCTTTTAGACCATGCGCCACGGCGCAAAGCGGATTTTTTTTGTCCTTGTTTTAGCAAAAGTGGATTCTGACAAGCCCTTAATGCATTTGAGCCCAGCGCTTTGCACTTTGCGCATGGATCGTCAAAATAGAGCCCCTGGAGTTCCTGGAGCCAGCCCTCAAAGGCGAGTCGATGAATTGCAGTTTCAGTTACTTCCGTAATGGCTTGTTGCCACTTGGTGTCATATCATGATTATAAAAGTTTCATGGCAGTCTAATGAGCAGCCCCTTTAAGTAAAGTGTTATTCTTCTGCACTTGAAGTGCATTAACTAATGTTGTTGCTCTCTGCAATACTTACTTGTCTTTGATTGGTCAATCATGACTTTGCAAAGTATGTAATCCCCGGAAAATAACCACCAAAACTAATAATGCAGCTCAACTGGGTAATAAAAATAATCTTCACTGTTTGTGAGTATATTCATATACAGTACATATTTATGTATACACATATACATGTGCTTTGCATAGGGCTGCTGGTAACCCTGTCTGGCTTTATTCTGCAAGAACAATATCTAAATGTACATCCTCTCTTACTTAACAAGGATTTTAATAATGCATTAGTAAATGTTGAAGTATGATTAATAAATGATGGACAAATTATTAATTAGTAGACACAATAACAAGTTCATTATTATCTTAATCTGCTCATGTTAAAGAGATAGTTACCCAACATGCTGTCACAATATACTCACTCTATGGTAGTCATACAGGTTTTCAGTTTTCTTCAAAATGTCTTTTGTGTTCAACAGACCAAAAAACTTCTACATTTATTAAATATTTTGGTAATTTTTGTGTAAACTGTCCGGTTAATTACATATGTAGGTTGCATTACTTGTACTACACCTTACACCTAGGGATTTTTCAGTGTTTAACTTTAACAAATAAATTACTACCCTCTACTCAAAAAAGGTCTTAATTATTTGACTTTAAAAGGTGTGGTTTTCAAAAGTATATCATTTTTGCAGTATACAATCAAACAAATCTTAAGACTAACTCTGATGAAGGGACTTGAGCCATCTAGACACCACCAGAATATCATTCATATTTGTTTTGACTTGGGTCAATAACTAATCACCAGTAATACAGCATAGAAATGACTTAGCAACCAGCCAGAATACCCTACTTGGTTACCACTATGAACACCCACAAAGAACAACCTCATAGCACCACCCTGAACACCCTAGCAACAGAAATACTCCTTGCGGTTGCTATTCTGTTGCAGAATAATGTGTTTACCATGTAAACATTTGTTGTCAAGACAGATTTCTCTTTATTATTCTGTGAGCTTGTCTCAAATCAAAAGGTAATCATGCGCCTTTGGATGTCATTGGATGTTAAATGGTCCTTGAGGCATGTTTTTAAGGATTGCTTAAAATCATATCGCTGGACTTTTAAGGACATCTGGTAAATTTACGTTTTTTGGAAATTACTGTTCTATTATACAGTACATTGGAGCTAGTGTATTGATGGTAGGGTGCTAAACAAAGAAATAAAGATTAGCAAAAAAAAAAAATACTGGATTTTTTTACGATGATGAAAAAACTTTAGCACACCTGCTTCGAACAGTATTACTCGATTGAATGGGCGTTATCAGTGGTTTTCAGCTGATATATATGGGCCAGTAGTGGACTATTGCGTCTACTGTTAGGCTCAGAAGGTTGTTATCATCTATCCACATGGTAAATCAGCTATACTAATAGAGAAGGCTCCAGATCCAGATCTGTTTTGCAATTAAAAATGCAATTAATAATTATTATTAACTTCCGACTATAGATCAGATGATCTATAGCTGATTAACCATGTTGATGGATGATAGCAGCCTTCTGAGCCTACCAGTAGGCGCAGATGCCCCCTACTGGTCCCTATCTATCAGCTGATAACTATTGATTACAGCCTTTCCATAGAGTGATAACATTTAAATCATCTGCCTAGCAATCATATAGTATTTCCCGTGCATTCACTCTCTGAAATTACATGTTGTAGTACCAGTTTAATAAAATATTCAAGCTAAAACAGTCATCTTATGCGTTGGCCTTTAAAACATTTTGCACTTTAGAAAGTTTTGAGTTGCAGTATGAAATGTACAGTGTGTTTTTATAGCAAACTTATTTCTAAAATAATGAAACATTTGATTTGAATGTATGGTAATTACTTGTGTTCTCTGCATTTATACAATTAGTTTAGCATTTTGATAAGCAGAATTTGTGAATTGTGTAACATTTTCCTACATATAAAATATCTACATGGGTGGAATATTTCGGTTTTCCATGACGGAATAATATATGTCTTCTTTGTTGTAACAGATTTTTTATCAATCCTTCCGGAAGCTCTTCGTTCCTGTTTTTCTGAACTGCTGGCTGGCAAAACGTGCTTTGGAAAGCACGGTTGTGAGTATATTTTGGAAAAAGTACATACATCACTCACATCACATCACATTGTTTCCTCTAGGATTTTTTCGCGCTGTGGTGGCAGGCCATTTACACAGATCTTCTAACTTCGTATGGCGTTATTTTAATGACAAATGGAGTGGGGCAGTATTACAATTTGAGATCGCATTTATGTAATATGAGCATGCAAATCTCTTAGCTTGCGTGCAGATTTCCTCTGTTGGTGCACAAAACCTCTTGCACGGCTCCTCCAATATACACTGCTCAAGCGCAGATTTTCTTGTGCGCTCTCAAATAAATGCTGCTGAAGTGCAATTTCGTGCATTTATGTAGCGAGTATGTCTCCAATATTTATTAGATTTGCTAGGAATATTAATGAATGTCTCCAATAGACCTAAAGATCGGCATTAATGCATCCTGAAGTAAAGTGAAACGGCTATAAACTCCAGCAAGATAAAGTCATTACATGCAGAACCACAGACCTTTATCTATAAATGAAGTATAATTAAAGGAACTGTGTTCTTAACTGAAAGCTAAGTCGTGTTTGCTGGCCTCATCCATCATGCACCTGTCAGTCAGACAGCATGTCACTTTAAGGGGTTAAACAAATAACGCACAGCACTACCACGATTACAGAAATGTTTGCGCTGTTATAATTAAATTATGTTTTAATACGTTTTGGTTTGATTATAACCCGCTATAAAAAAAAACAACACAACTAAAGGTTTTGAATGAGAAGCTGTAATGTAGCCGTGGTGGGGTGAATTTTGGTGTGGCGCCCCACCATAGAAGAATAAATGTAGTGGAAACCATGCATCATTTATAACTAATGTACTGTAAGTATACTCAGTTGGCATTTCAGTGTGAAGTTTGCATGTTCTCCCCTTGTTCATGTGGGTTTCCTCTGGGTGCTCCAGTTCCCCCCTCAGTCCAAAGACATGCGCTATAAATGAATTAAGTAAAACGAAAATTGTCTGTAGTGTAGGATTGTGTGTGTGAATGTGAGAGTGTATGGGTGTATCTCAGTACTGGGTTGTGACTGGAAGGGCATCTGCTGCGTAAAACATATGCTGGAATATTCGGCAGTTCATTCCACTGTGGCAACCTCTGATAAATAAGGGACTAAGCCGAAAACAAACTGAATGAATAAATTAACATTTTTAAGGTTATTTGTTAAAATTGTAAGGTTACACCTGTTCATCTCACAGCCATAACATTTACACCATGTAATGATATCATAATGTAATGTAATGACATCATCTTTTTTCTATGGCTCCCAGAATGATCTTCATCGAGCTATTCACCGGACACAGTCAGCCATGTTCAATCAGGTCCTCATGCTCATCTCCACCATTGTCTGCCTCATTTTCACTTTGTGAGTCGGAAAAGAAACACTCTCTTACACACACAAACACACACACATTGGTATTGGTGGTTTGCAGGAAATCTACTTAGGCATAACGTATTTATACTGTAAAAAAACATTTATTACAGTCAAGTCTAAAATTTTTCATGCGCCTGGCAAATTCTGACTTAAAATTACTTGTATTCATCCAGCAAGTTGACAGTCTTCTCCCAAAAGATAATAAGACAATGTACAAAAGGCATCAGTGTGGATTAAATAAAGTAAAACAAACAAAGTCAGAATTGGCCAGAGGTATAAATCATTTGAGGCTTGACTATAAATGGCCCTATACCCATACATTCCCTAACGTCAACCCGCACAGAAGTTTTAAATGTCAATTACCCCCTTTTAGTATAATTTTGGGCATTTTGGGGCGGGGGGGGGGATGGGTAAAAATAAGACAAACGATGAAATGCATCTATCTGCTTTCTGGCTGAAACACCGCCAGATGATGTGGGCTGAGGGCCTGTTCAATTAAAATAACATTTCCTACTGAAAAGTAAAGTAATGGCCGCCAATTCACAAACAGCAATTTTATTCACTTCATATGAAAAATGGTGAAAAGTTTGTTTAATTGTGAATTCAATTTTTTTAAACTTTTTTTTTTTCATTTATATTAAAATCTAATCACAAAAATGGCTAATTAACTGTACATCAGGGTGCCCAAGCTCGGTCCTGGAGAGCCAGTGTCCTGCAAAGTTTAGATCCAACAACAATCAGACACACCTGGGCTAGCTAATCAAGCTCTTACTAGGCTTTCTTTCTTTCTTTCTACATGGAAACAACCATGTAGGTGTGTTAAGGCATACTGTTGCTAAAATCTGCAGAACACCGGCCCTTCAGGACCGAGTTTGGACACCCCTGCTGTACAGTTCAAACAGTAGTTAGTTTAGTAAATAGTTTTTTTTTTTTGCTAAATATAAAAGTTCTTTTAAATCTATACTTTTTATATGATTATTTAAATAGCCTTCTTTTTAAAATGCAGTTTATTTTCCAAGAATGCTAGGACCCCATAACTGAAATTGCTTAGGGCCCCCAAATCACTAAATTCACCCCTGTTCTGGAGAGAGCGAAATATGTAGCCAGAGGCACTTATGGCTGCATTTTGTCTTTAAAGGAGAAATTAAGCACTCAGTCAAGTTTACATTAGTTTGTAAATCGATTTCCACTTTAATGGAAATATATATACCAGCTCAATTAATATAACCATGTCAAAAAATGGCATGTTTTAGTATAAGTTTTAGAACTAGGGTGCCGCCATCTTGGAATGTCACTGTGTCTGACGTCATGGGCTTGGTTTCATTCCCTCAGCTGAACAGATACAGTGGAAGTAAAGGACTGAACACAGGGACTGTAAAGCCTAATTTAACCCAATGCGTGAAGTTGTGGACATGGAGCTGGTGCAAATACAAGCATTATATGTGTCTAATATAAAAATGTATATATTTCTTCCATTTTTCTTTTACCCTTTTAAATTACACATAATTTGATGCACTTTGGTCCACTTTTTATATTATGCTGCCTGACTGCCTGTATGGGTTTCGACTGGTACTGTCGTAATGTGGGTGGGTACTTTTACTTTTCACTACTACAGATGCTCACCTCTTTCTGTGTTCAAACAAAACTAAGATCAGCATGGTTTTTCAAATGGCAGGTTTATACGTCCTTCATAAATGTTGAGAGATCGAATTGATCAACTTGATAAGAGAATGTCTTGACATAATCCACAAAGACATGACTTAGTAAAGCGTGAAGTCTAATCATTTTAATCATTGCATTAGTCTGAATGTAAATCACTTGGCAGCTTTGGAGCAGAGTGAGAGATTGGACCAAAGAACATCAAATGAAAGATATTAACAAAAAAATAATAGTAATAAAAATACACAACTTAAGACATAACCTGAATGCTCGTATTTGGTGTATTTACACCAGCTCTGTGATGCACATCCACAACTTCATGCATTGTGATAAATTAGGCTGTCCAGTCTCTGTGTTCAGTCCGTTACTACCATGGTTAACACTCATACAGGCAGTCAGACAGTGTAATGTGGACCAAAGCACATCAAATGATCTGTAGTTAAAAGGGTAAAAAGATAAAATAATTAAATATAACAATTTTTATATTAGAGCACCAATTCCACGTCCACAACTTCACGTATTGGATTAAATTAGGCTTTACAGTCTCCATGTTCAGTCCTTTACAACCACTGTATCTGTTCAGCTAAGGAACAGAGCCAACCCCATGACATCAGACACATTGACATTCCAAGATTGTCACGTTTGGCAAGGAGGACCCAAACGCAGAATTGAAAGGAGAACACAAAGGTTTATTTACAGGAGGTAAACAGGGCAATGCAGAAAGACAATTGTGCAGGGTGATGGCAGGAGAACAGGCTTGTAAGGGAAGGAGACTCAGGACTTTAGGATAATACAGAGGGGAGTGTCTTAAAGGGGTAACAAAGGCTGGTCAGGAAAGGGGAATTCCAAACTTCATGCCAAGCAGTCAATCGGTAGCTAGCCGAACCTCTGGTTTGGGACGGGGGTGGCCAACAGATGGATCATCAAGGAAAGGGGATCCACAACCAGTGAAGAACTAACAAAAGACTAGGGCTAGACTGGGGCTAAGGACTGGGGCTAGACTGGGGCTAACGTCTGTTTCACACCGCAAGCGTCAGCGGCGCGTGAGCAGAGCGTGAGCAGCGCGTATGTCGAGCAGTAGCAGCACGCAGGCGTTTGCCTTTCACACCAGCTGCGTCTGCAGCGCGCAGTTCTTCGGCAGCTGCTACAGAGATCAACCTATCTCTGTCTATTCTATCTAGTTACCCATGTCTCTCTATATACAAATACACCTTTTAAACTTTTCATCTGTCCAGCGGCAGAATAACAGCTCAATAATTCATGCTCGTGCAGATGATGAGACGGACAAAAGTTACCAATGCATGCCATTATTTTACTTATTTTCGTGTTGTCAGATTCACAGTGCAAACAGCTCCCGGTAGGAATAACTCGAGTGAACATAAAACAAAGCCGATTTAAACTTTCTTCCTCTGCTCAGCTGCACAGAACACAGCGAGCTCACATCATCCAGCATGCGTGTCGAACTACACTACCCACAATACACTTCGCTATGGACTACAAATCCCGTAAATATTCTATTTCCCCTCTCCTACAACACTAGTGTGCAACTTAAGCAAAACTGATACTAAAATTGTTTTACATTTGGTTTTGTAGTTCGGGCCTAAATAAATGTTGCCGTTTTTAATCGTTTTAAGTTCATTTGAATGACTATATGTATACCATTTGACGTTATCAACGTATTTATTGGGTAAAATTGCTACTTTTTACTGTCATTCATTGTGTTTTGGTCATTATCAATGCACTGTCACTTTAATTGAGCGTGAGCAGCGCGTCAAAAATAGACCCAGCGCCGAAACTATCGCTGCACTGCTGCTTCGGCGACGCTCACGCCTCGCACTGACGCGCTGCTGCTGCGTGCGGTATGAAAGCTATAATCTGTTAACATGGACGCCGAAAACACACGCGCTGCTCACGCTCTGCTCACGCGCCGCTGACGCTTGCGGTGTGAAACAGGCGTGAAACAGGCGTAAGGATCACAAAAATGGCTAAATGAAAACTTGAAATTAGTCTTGAGCTGCAAACAGAAATAAAATTGAAAATGACAGCAACCTTGCTGAAAGATGAAAAAATAAATTAATAAACCGAATCAAAAGGATAAATTAATTCAAGATAAAGATCAAAAAGACTTGTACTAGACTAGGACTAGACAAAAGAAACAAAACTAGACCTAAACTAAACCTTTATCATGCACTAAACAAGATAAGCTAGACATGCACACGAAAGATAGTATGACAAACCGGCAAAGACAAGTGGAAAATGAATTCAATATAAAGGGAGTAGAGAGCAGGAGGAACAGGTGAACATAATTAGACAAACAAGGACTAAACAAGGGGGCAAGGCATAGAAAAACATGGCAAACACAACAAAAGAGCAACCATGTGCTGATACACAAAACAAACGAAAAGACTTTAAACACAGGCAGGAGTGACAGGGCTGTAAGGGCTGGATCCTGACAAAGATGGCGGCACCCTAGATCTAAAATCTGTAATAAAACATGCCGTTTTCTTCATAATGGTTACATTAATCGAGTTTATAGTATATATTTTCATAACTTGACTGAGTGCTTCATTTCCCCTTTAGCCAAATACTACGGGGCGGTATGATACCACTTATGGCTTCTGTATCTTTTCGCACTCCCGGTGACCACTTACCTCCAAGTGGATGACTTTTCTACTGTCACCAGTTTGCCCAATTGCTTGCCACATTAGTCGGGGGGCTAAAGACGCAGTGCGAAGTTGACGGTGGCAACAGGGTTCTAGGGTGAGAATATAGTAATATCTTAAAATCTAGTAAAAATCAAGAAAATCTACTCTTTTTTTTTTTTTGGATTGCTAATGAAAACACTGTCGCTTTGGTCTAGGGAAGGGCTGGGGGCTCCTTAATTTGAGCTTTCGAAAATACTGTTGGTTGTTTTGGGGGAAGGCAGTGAGCGTGTTAATCTGTGCTTTTGAAAACACTATTAGTTGGGTTTGGGAAAGGGGGTCTGTCAGACAGTCGATCAGTCAGTCAGTCAGTCAGTCAGTCAGTTGACATCGGCCTCAGGTGAATTTATGCGAGAATACCAGGGGCGAATGACACTTGTGAGAAATTTGAGATTTGAAAAAGACTATATAGCTGCCTGTGGCGTATTCACAAAAAGAAAACTGCAAACAAACATACGTCCTGGAACTCATTTTGATCTCTCCAGAAATGTACATGCGATGCATATCTAAAATGGTTGCAACATACAATTATGTGTTACATAAACAAGTGCACACACATAAACAGACACAATAGACAGTCTACATTCAACCACAAACTGCCTGTCTAAGAGGATTTCTCAAGATATATGTGCTGTGGTCTTCATCATGTTTTGTCTGTTTGCTTTCATTTGACTGAGACCAAGCCATTAGCTGTGCAGCCCGTCAAGGGTCAAAAACAGATTGAATTGCAGCTCATTTTTTTGTGGTTTCTGCTTTTACGTGGAGAAGCACTTAGTTGCCACAGGCAGGCTTGTCTTTCTGTGTTCACATCCTTATTAATCCCTGGTGAATTGCAAAGCTAATTGTACAAAACCCTAGCAAATTGCACACCGCGGAGTGGACCTAATTTTCTGAACAATAAAGGCTAAAATGCACCACATCTAAACATATTTTAGATTTCAAACAGATTTCATAATTCTTGATTGGTGTGATAAAATTTAGTTATTAATAAATACTAAGAAAACAGAAGAGATTGTATTTGGCTCAAATTGTAGAGGTGACCAATGTCAAGTGGTTGTACATGACCATCTTAGTATTTATTTTCATCCTATTTTGTAAGATTTATTTTTGGATTTTTTTGCCTTCGTTATGACAGAATACAAACTCCGGAAACCAGAAGTTTATTGGTGCTACATGTTGGCTTACTACCCATGAGGCTATTGGCACCCATAGCACATTGTTGTTAAAGCAAAAAACAAATTAAACTTGCTTAGAACATAGAATAGCATTCTAGCTACTGTGATAAAAAGTCTATAAATTATTCACCATCTGCAGCCTTCTCTCATACGATATACACTCACTTTATTAGGTACAGCTGTCCAACTGCTCGTTAACGCAAATTTCCAATCACATGGCAGCAACCCAATGCATTTAGGCATGTACACATGGACAAGACGATCTGCTGCCGTTCAATCCGAGCATCAGAATGGGGAAAAAAGGTGACTTAAATGACTTTGAACGTGGCATGGTTGTTGGTGCCAGATGAGCTGGTCTGAGTATTTCAGAAACTGCTGATCTACTGGGATTTTCATGCTCATCCATCTCTAGGGTTTACAAAGAATGGTCCAAAAAAGAGAAAATATCCAGAGAGCGGCAGTTCTGTGGGCACAAATGCTTTGTTGAGACCAGAGGTCAGAGGAGAATGGCCAGACTGGTTCAAGCTGAATGAAAGGCAACTGTAACTCAAACAACCACTCTTTACAATCGATGTATGTAGAAGAGCATTTCTGAAATCACAACACGTCAAACCTTGAGGCAGATGGGCAGCAGAAGACCACACCAGGAGCCACTCCTGTCAGCTAAGAATAGGAAAACTGAGGCTACACAGGCTTTTGATTCACAGGCTTGCCAAAATTGAACAGTAGAAGATTGTAAAAATGTTGCCTGTCCTGATGAGTCTCGATTTCTGCTGCAACATTCTGATGGAGGGTCAGAATTTGGCATCATCAACATGAAAGCATGGATCCATTCTGCCTAGTATCAATGGTTCAGGCTGTTTGTGGTAGTGTAATGGTGTGGGGGGTATTTTCTTGGCTACTTCCAACAGGACAACGCTCCATGTCATAAAGCGCAAATCATCCCAGACTGGTTTCTTGAACATGACAAGGAGTTCACTGTACTCAAATGGCCTCCATAGTTACCACATCTTAATCCAATAGAGCACATTTTGGGATGTGGTGGAACAGGAGATTTGCATCATGGATGTGCAGCCGACAAATCTGCTGCAACCGTGTGATGCTAACATGGGGCAAAATCTTTGAGGAATATTTCCAGTACTTTGTTGAATCAATGCCATGAAGGATTAAGGCAGTTCTGAAAACAAAAGGGAGTCCAACTTGGTAATAGTAAGGTGTACCTAGTAAAGTGACCGGTGAGTGCAGCTGTATATAGTATGTTACCAGATGTAATGTAATGACAGAACGACAAATGGCGGCCTGCCCATATTTCTCATGAAAACCTACCAATAACACTCCAATAATAAAACTTTATTACAAGCTTAGCATTGTGAATTGGTAAGGAGGTAGTTTTGAAGAATGGATAGTTATGTAGTTGCTCAATATTTCATTTCGGGTCATTTTTAACCAAAAAATTACAGACTGCAGCTTTAATATGCCTTCATAATGTCTAGTTAAGTTCCCAGTGATGGGTTGCAGCTGGACGAGCATCCACTGTGTAAAATATGTGCTGGATAAGTTGATGGTTCACTCCGCTGCGGCGACCCATGATTAATAAAGGGACTAATATGAAAATGAATGAATGAATGTCTGATAAAACATTTTTCTTGCCCTCTGTTTTCTGATTATGTGCTTGCTGACATGAATGTGGGACAATAACCTTTCACTCACATGAGTTTGACTAATGGCTTACCATCCAATTACATTTTAACAAATAAAATTAAGTCCACCCCATATTTTTACTTGAAAACTACAGCAGTGAATACTTAATTTCATACTGAAATAAGCAGCAACATAGTTAAATGTTCTAATTGAAAACATTAAAGTAAAGATCCATAGTGGTTCATGTTCAATGTTAATGTAATGATTTGTTTGTGTTTCAGGTATGTATAAAATTAGGGAGAATTACAGTAGCCACTTAAAATCACCAAAATGCACCATATGGTTTAACAGTCATTTGGAAATAAAGCAAAGTAAATATGACATGATGACTGTATGTTATCTACCGTAGACCTCAGCAACATTATCTTTCTTTTGTTGACAATATATTGAGGTTTGATTCCCTTTTATCGCTGGACTAAAGTTGTATAGTAATTGCACTGTGGTTAAGTGTTCAGTCATTAGAAATCTTCAGACAGCCCTATATGACGCCTTACACTCCCTGTAAGTGCATCTCAAAGCTTTTAGAGAAGAAACTGTTTCACAAACTGTCTGCTTATAGTATATGTGTCATTTGGAGGGTTAATGCAGACAGAGTGATTAGGTCTTTTCTGTCATTTCCCGATCCTATCAATTCATGACCACATGAGTCAATGTGTGATGTTTTACTTGAAAATGGAGATTGCATATTGTAAATCTCTTCATAAGGTAGCTGCTCAAAAATATATGTTCATCATATGTATCATATTTAACTCACTCAAACAATTGTTTTCATGATAAATCAAACTAAGTTGCCAAAACAAGTGACAACAGGTGAAAAATGTTACATTTGTTGTAAACTATATACATTTTTTACAATATTCATATGGAATTGTGAATAAACATTTACTTTAGTGACCCTTCTATATACTATACTATATATTTTACTATATACTACATGACACAGACTCATTCTGAAAATGTAGCCTTATATACATTTCTATAGATCACAAATTATGTGGCCAGAAGTACATATGGCTGCATTTGGTCTTTAAAACAAACGCTATGGGGTGGTATGACGTCGTTCCTTTTCCTGCTTACCAACTGACCGCAAACCTCTGTAAGGACAGCTTTCCCACTTTTACGTTTGTGCAGTAGCTCGCCATGAACATCGGCGGACTTGAGATGCAGAGAGGAATTGACTGTAATGACAGGGTTTGAGTCCGGTGAAAAAGGGGTCCAGAAGGCAGGTTTAACAAAAACAGAAGCCAAAAAGTAAAATAAACAAGTAAATAACAGAGTGAAAATGTGGTAAAATCTAAAAAAAAATAAATCTGGGCTTTTCTTTTTCTGGATCGTTTTTTAAAACTGTAGGTTGGGTTTAGGGAAGTGTGTGGGTGGGTCATTTGGTGTTTTTAAAAACAGTATAGCCTATAGGTTGGGTTTAGAGAAGGCGGAGGATGGGTCAGTCAGTCAACAGCAGCCCTTTGGAGGTTTTACATGAGAACAGTACGCCTGAATGGCACTCACAAGAGAAATTTGAGATCTCAAAAAGCATACACAGGGGCCTCTGGTGGATTTGTGAAAACAAAAACTTGAAAATAAAACATATTTTACGCTCTCCAGAAATGTACATAGTGGTACATTTTCAGAATGAGCATGGGTTGACAATAATATATAAAAAATAATTTTAAAATGAAATAAAAAATACACAAACGTTTAGCAATGAAAATGAAATAAATAGAGCCCAATTTCTGCATAGGAGAAGCATTTTAAGTCTTTTGCATATTGTATATGGCATCACTGTTCTGCAAAACTACCATGGACTTCTTTGTGATGTTTGCTTTTGTTGCATTTGTTTCTAACTCTCCAGCATTTGTGGTGTTGAGCACTTGCAGCGAGCCGGAACAAAACTCACAGTTTTTGACTCTTTCTACTTCTGCATCGTGACCTTTTCTACAGTGGGGTTTGGAGATGTTGTTCCTGATATTTGGCCATCCAAGTTGCTGGTGGTTTTTATGATACTTGTCACTTTAATGGTCCTGCCAATCCAGGTAAGCCTGCTTTTGAGAATACCGAGTATGCAGTTAATAATGCAAGGTCCCACTTTATATTAATGATGCTATATAGTGCATTGATTTTTGATATCTACATAGTAGGTATGTGGCTTGGGTAGGTTAAAAAATGTATATGGTCATTCATAAATAGAGGAGTTACCCCTTGAATTATCTTCATAAAGACCATATTTGGAATGGTTATGATTAATAATGAGCTCAGCTCTGTCACTCCTGCAGCTCAGTCCCTGCTCTCTATCTCACTCAAAAGCAAACATAATGATGTATTTTTAAATAAACTGTGAAAAAAAAATCATTACGTTTGTCAAAATCTTTAAACAAACTGAGCAAAATATATACTGTCAACAAAAGGGACAGACTAACAAATATTTTACAATGTAATTGATATCAATCTCTGAATAAACAGGTGATGTTGAATAGAGTGCATCGCTGTTCTTTGACTCAATCAAATTCACATTAAGTGATATGACCTGATGCATAAACATGCATTGAACATATTCAGCAGTCAATATGTGGTTGTTGCCTCACTGAAAACATGTTGCACATTTCACAATAAAAGAGCAAAAGGTTCAACTTAACAGACCATATGCCTCTTCGAGGTGTTGCTGAATACATTTTTAATCTGTATATCCTGCATTTTTGTGACGAGCTATAATCAGATGGCTGGCGTAGAACTACATGTCTGTACATGTCTGTCACGTCTGAGTCACTTAGCAATGCATAGAAAACAATTGGCAAACACAAGGTGTGGTTGAATCACAAGGTGTGGTTTAATTTATTGGCCTCCCTGCATCTCCGGTTTTTCCAAAATAAGAGTATGACATATATGGTAAGTTTATTAATAGCTAAACTTAAAAATAAGGTAACAGGTCTTTGTTTTAGGTTTAGGTAGGTAGTGCTGTCGCCTCACAGCAAGAAGGTAGCTGGTCGAACCTCGGCTCGGCTCAGTTGGCGTTTCTGTGTGGAGTTTGCATGTTCTCCCTGCATTCGCGTGGGTTTCCTCCGAGTGCTTTGGTTTCCCCCACAGTCCAAAGACATGCGGTACGGGTGAATTGGGTAGGCTAAATTGTCCGTAGTGTATGAGTGTGTGTATGAATGAGTGTGTGGATGTTTCCCAGAGATGGGTTGCGACTGGAAGGGCATCCGCTGTTTAAAAACGTACTGGATAAGTTGGCGGTTCATTCCGCTGTGGCAATCCCGAATTAATAAAGCCGACAGACAATGAATGAATGAAGGTCTGTGTTTTGACTGCCAAACTTCATCACTCTGCTGCTCATGCACGTCCGGCTGATGTAGACCTAACAGTCTGTGTTTTGTTCCGACAGGTCTGATTTTTTTAAAGGGGTTTTACATTAAATCTTATTCTATATATACTCTACGCCTTAGAGTATCCATATTATTATTATATGCCACCATTAAGTGACGTTTAATTAATTTAAATGAATGATTTGGTTTAATGTACTTTACACACATGTACATGTTTTTACATTGTACTTTTAAAATTATTTTAAAAATGATTTGCATGAAATTGCATATATTAATAATTTTTTTCATTTATAATTATACTACTGACCCATCCCTTACACCTTATCCTACATTTATACCACCAAACCTGTCCCTAACCTTACCTATATCCCAACTTAATAGCACAATACAATATGAACACAATAACACATTGTATTTATGTTTTTATTTACAGTTTTTTACAATTGCTATGACACTTTTTTCAATACATTTAACAAGTTTCCTAAACTCTTAACACGGTTAGCACAACATCCGTCTTCGTGGGCTATACAATTAACACATTTCTTGTTGCTTTGACACAAAATGCATCCAGTTAACACAAAATTAAAATGCTTTAACTTCTTTTACACACAAGCACAACCAAGAACAAAACATTGTAATTTCGTAGTCCAATTTACCAATGCTTTCACACAGTATGTCAGAACAGATAACATCATGTTCTAAACAGAACCTATATAGGCTAAAGCCAAAGTGAACAGCTGTTCATATTGTCAATTGAAACACAAATACATTCCCTGTGTGTGTGTGTGTGTGTGTGTGTGTGTGTATATAAATATATATATGTGTGTGTGTGTGTGTGTGTGTGTGTGTATATACCGCTGTCAATCCGCTGTCATCTGTCATATATATAGACACACACACACACACACACATACATACATGTATGTATCACACACACACACACACACACACACACACACACACACACATATATATATATATATATATATATATATATATATATATATATATATATATATATATATATATATATATATATACATATTTATTTATTTATTTATGACAGCTCCCATCTCCCATATGAACATGATTCCCATCTAGAAAGCACACTCCTGTGTTGAGATTTTTCAAATCACATGATCATACTGTATGTTCTAAAAAAAGGACTCATGAGGTTTTTGAAACGAACAAGGCGCACATTGCAGAACTCCGTCACCAATACGTCCAGGTAAGGTTATGCAATACAGTGATTACTTTATGCACAGTGTGTTTTGCAGTAAACGACTCTATAAACCTGGCATTCATTAGTACATACATTACTGTAGCTATAGTACAGTGAACCATTTACACTGTGTTTAGAGAGTCATGAAGTTGGAGGTCAATCAAGTCCCACATGAAATTATCTATGTTGACGAGACTGGCTTCAACTTGGCGAAAAGGCGTCGCCGTAGGAGAAACATAATAGGTCAAAGGGCCATCGTTACCATGCCGGGCTAGAGAAGAAGTCGGGCAAATGCAGAAGACCAGGCAGAATAGAAAATTACTTTGTTTTTTTTATTATAATTGCGATGTTTTTTCTGTTTGTATATCTTGCAGTGATGTCCTTTTGCAAATATAAAAAATTCTGTGTCTGTATTTTTTTACATCAACTGTAAATTTTATAAAGCAATTTATTTCTTTATTTTTGTATTGAATTTTTGCAGTAAAAGAAAGAAAATGCCAGAAAACAAAATGGAAATGTAGAGAGTCTTAAAATATAAGGACAGAGCTGACACATAAACTAATGCAGTTTCTGTAATTTTAGCTGATGATAGTGTTTTTATTGTCAGTGTTTTCTGATTGACTGAATGTTTCTGTTGAAAGAGAACATGTGTTAGTGTTTTGCACAATTATGTCATTTTGGAACATGTTTGCAGTGTTTTGTTATACATGGTGTAGTGTGTTCATTTATTATTGTATTTTGAAAAGAAGTTTAGAAGTTCAGTTTACAATGTTTGATTTTGAGCATGAAATTAACTGTTTTGCCAATTGTGTGTTTTAGGTGTGTTGCTGCGTTAAGAGTTTAGCAAACTTGTTAAATGTATTGAAAAAAGTGTCATAGCCATTGTAAAAAACTGTAAGAACCTGGTAGTTAAGGCCACTTAGTAGAGAGTAGGACTCTAATCAGAACTACCTACACTGTTAGACATTTCAAAGGGTTTTTACAGTAACTTACTGGCAACACTGTTGCCAGTAAGTTACTGTATTTTAGATTTACAGTATACAACTGTAAATCCGTTTACAGCATGTTACCGTAGTGTCTAAAAATGGTTAACTACTCTAAAAACCTAAGTTAACAGTTAGCTACTGTAAACCTTTTAATTTTGTCCTAAATATTTTATAATATAATTTTATTAATATTATTTTAATACTATAGACATAAAAAAGACACAATTACAAAATATTAACAAAATAAACACTCTTTATTTAAAACATTGGAGATGCTTAAAACAAGCTTAAAAATGTGTAAAAACATTACATTTCAATCATTCAAAATATTTTATTTTAAGAAAAAAAACATTGAAAATGACAAAGCACATGAACATACATGTACAAAACTAATGTAAGTGTCTGACCTGCATATTGTTGAGAAAAAAAAACCCAATTGTACTAAGTACTACTGACATTAAACCAGACACAATTACAAAATATTCCATTCTTTAAAACATTAATAATGCTTAAAGCATTTAAGGAAAATGTGTGAAAATTACATTAAGCAATAAAATCAACACATTAAAAATAAATAAATCACACAAAGCACTAGAACATACATGTACAATAAAAATTTAAACTTCTGAATTGCATATCGTTGAAAAAAATAAATATTTGTAACTATTAGCCCACTCAGAAACAACCCAACTTTAAAATATTACTAGTTCTGGTGTCAAATGCTCAACAAGGTCTGAATTCACATGTTCAAATGCAATTCATCTTTATTTCTATTGCACTTTTACAATGTAGATCAATGATGTCAAAGCAGCTTAACATAGAAGTTCTTATAAATTGAAGCTGCTTCAGTCCAGTTTTCAGAATTGAAGCAGTAAATGTCTCTGCTGAAAGTCCAAACACTGAAGAGCAAATACACCGATCCACCAATCGTAGCCAAGCAGTCCAGTGGCGACAGTGGCATGGAACAAACTTCACCAACTGACGAAAGTGTAGAATAAAATCCCTTGAGAGATACCAGGCTCAGTTGGGCACGACCAGTTCTCCTCTAGCCAAACTTGTGCAAGGCCGCAGTCTAGGCACCAGAGGCTTGAAAGTTCACCAGCGGGTGGTCAGGCTGGCCCATTGGATCAATGCGGAAACTCATTGATCACGTGTGTCTTTTAGGATTCACTCCTCCATGACCACCACAGCATCTGGTCAGGATTTGGCCCAGTTCAGGATTATGAAGAACTCTGGATAAGGACAAACAGACTAACATAAGCATAGAAGAAGCTTGTTTAAAAAAAATAAATCATATACTGGTTAATTATTTTGAAGCATGGCAGCTAGGTTGGGGTAGTTTTCAGCTGGTACTGAGCAACTGGCTCCTGCTCATAACCTGCTCACTACCATGTTTAAAAGAGAACTAACCAGAATGTCCTGTTTATTTTTTTCCCTAACAAGGTTTTAAAAAAACATTGTAGCATTTGTGATGGGTTGATTCACTGCAGGACAGATTAGACTATTTGTTTTATGTATTTCTAATAAACTAAAACTGACTGAATACTGATACAATTATTGAGAGTGTCTCACCTAATCCAAGTTCTCTGTTAGCTGGTGAAAGAAGGATAACTCACTGTTGTTCATGGTTGTCATTCTCTTCACTACTTCTCCTGCTATCTTCTGGCTCACTCTGGTTGTTGCTGTGCATTTTGTTTCATCCTCTGGAATTATTTATACAAAAAATTGTATTATTTTATTTATTACAAAATATTTAGGCAACATGAAATGGGGAAAAAGACATTTAATACATAGACAAATGCATGTATCCCAATACTAATTATTGTATTTTGAAATGTCTGACCCCTGACAGACCTCAATCTGCTCAAAAATATTATAAACAAAGATGAAAAAAACCCTACTAAATGGTTTAATAAAAAAGGGAAAAAGATTTTTTTATTTAGCTAGCAACTAAACATGTGACACATTTTGTATTAAAAGTAACGTTACTATATTGAGAAACAAATAGATGTACAGTAATTACTGTTGTATGAGGTCCAGTTTGCACAGGCAGGCTCCCAGTATTCTATATTGAGACCATAAAAAAGCCAAAAATACAGATAAGAATACCATGCTACAATCCACAACCTCCACACAACTTTTTTTTTATTTGTTTACCTTGGTTGCTTACTGGTCTTGCTTATTTTTTAAGCATAAGGCTGTGCTGATCAAGATGTTCCTCCGAAATGCTGTTTGTTTCTTCAGACAAAACCTGCTGCTGTGCCAGTGCCATATCTAAACAGAAAAAAATATAATGGTAACAATTATGTTAAACCAAATGTCAAGAGTTGTGATAAAAAAATAATTAGCAAACAATAAATAGCAAAAAGGTGGTTATTAGCATAATGCATAGAGGTAAAATTGGTTTTATATTAGCAGATTCAGACTTCCCCCTTAATAATTTAATTTCATAAAAGTATTATTTGCAAACTCTAAATAGCGAAATCATTTTAGCAGCTAATGACTATCAAAGTACAACATGCTCACGGTCAAATAAACAGTGTTAATGTTGATTTCAAGTCATACTGGCATGCTAATTCTGATCGAATATTCAAAGTAACATGGTAAACAGTATAGAGTCTTCTAAATGAACGAATGTGCGAATATAAAACCAACTTTACCTCTATGCATATTGTATAGATTTACGTTAACGTTCATATAGGTTACGTCGCGATGTTATTTTCTCAAGCTAACGTTATAAGTTACTCTAAACCAGAGAAAAATAAGTTCACAACATCTAATATATAGTATAAATCAATATAAGTTAAACGGTGCACGTTAAAATGAGTTTGAGTCCAATTCAGTATAAACTTAGCTCAGTTTAGCTAACAGTTAACATTACCATTTTAAGATCGCTTCAGCCAATGTTGCCGAGCAAACAAATGCTAATAGAGGTGCTCAAATCAATGTCGAGTGTTGTCAGCACATACAGACGCGCTTTTACCTGGATTATTTGTTGGTCTTTCATTCATATTCTTGTGGGGGAAAACACTCTCTGCCGGACCGTTGTCTCGTGCTAAGTGTCCTCCAAAACTGTCTGCATACCTCTGGTTCCCTCCTAAACCAAAACCCGCTGCAACACCGGTTCCTTTGTAAATAAATAAAAAGATGACGAGAACAATGGCTAATAGTCATAAACAGTCTTATTTAAAGTAATAGTAGTGTTAATGTAATAAATTAAATAAAGGTAACATCTTAATAGATGTAATGGGCGAAATAACGCCAAGCCAGAGAAAATAATAATAGCCAACTTTATGCTTTACTTTGTTCTATTCTCGTCCACAAAACATTCTGTAAAATGAAACACTGCCTCAGCTTACCAGAGTAAAGTTTGTTAAATCCAGTATGTTCTTCAGGCACACTAATAAATTGTCCTCCAGAATTGCTCCAGGGTCCTCGGGCAAAATGTGGTGCAGAGTAGTCGAATCGCCGCAAGGTGGCGTTGAAGCAGTTGTGGAAAATACAGTATAATACACGAATTTTTACAAATACGCTACATCGCTGTATATGTTGTTCGACGTCACACTAAATTCCCATAATGCAACGGTAAATACAGTTATTTACCGTAAAAGGAATTTGCAGTATTACACTGGGTGAAATACAGTAAATAACTGTGTAATTTACAGAAATGTCTAACAGTGTACTTTAAAAGTTTTTAAAACATATTGAAATGGTGGTTTTAAATTGCACCATAATTTTTACTTAAATTGTACCACCAATGTTGCAATAATACAATTAAAATTCCCATGGTCCAATTAGGGAGAGTAATGTACAGTAGCGGCTGTGGCAATATCATTAAAATATTAGTTAATTCTGTGTAATGCATTGATGTGTCCTTGTGGTTTAATGCACTAGTTTGAGGAGTTGGCTTATCTGTGGATGGAGCGGCAGAAGTCTGGAGGATATTACAGCAGACAGAGAGCAGAAACAGAGAAACACGTGGTGTTGTGTGTCAGTTCAATCAAAATTGACCTGCTGATGGATTTCCTAAATGAGTTTTATGCCCACCCTAAACTTGAGGTAATTAACACATACGTTTATATTCAATGCATTCCTATTTTACTTCGCTGTTACTGTGACTTCATTTACCATTATTATAGGACTTTATTTGCATATGCACTTTAATGACAGCTGTATTTATTCACCTCAGCAGCAGTTAGCTCTGCAGTGTATTTAGATTATTTATTTCCACTTGATGTTGGTGTCTTTTAGGAGCACTATGTCATCATCCTTTGCCCAACTGAGCTGGATGCAGCAGTCAGAAGTGTGCTGCGGATCCCAATGTGGTCACATAGAGTCATATATCTGCAGGGCTCTGCCCTCAAAGACCAAGACTTGGTCAGAGCAAAGTGAGTTCAAAGAGACTTAAGACACTATCTTTTGCTAAAATTACTGCATTGTGGTTGCTCCCATGTATAGTAAATATAGTTATCTTTGGGTTAGCATACAGTAAAGCTCAGTGGCCTGGTCATAACTCCTTTAATTCCAAAAAATGTCCACTGTTTTCTCTGACCAAATACATTTGAAAAAGCCCACAGTAAGCAGGAAAATTGGTAACACATATGAGGGATTCACGCTTAAGTATTATAGGAGCATCTCAGTCTGTGCAAGCATAGTTAGATAATTGCTTATCATTTTGTTGCAAAAGTATTTAAAGAGTTGTCAAAGAAAAAGAAATCACATTTTACAATGCATAATTACAAAGAATCGAAGTCTTTCATCAACTATAATTATAAAATGATTAAGGAAATCCAGAGAAATCTTTGTCAGGCAAGAAGTTAAAGCAGGAACCTCAACTGTATGTTCAACCTTTGAGCTCTTACTTGACTTCTAATCAAAATAAACAGCCTGCTGCTGCATCAAGAAATCAACTTAAAATTTTGTTACTCAAGGAGAAAGCTAAACGTCAGCTCTTTGCACAGGGTAGAGCCAATCTCAAAAGACATTGCAAATGAGACTGAGAATGTAATGTCTAAAAAGATCTTTTATACATTCATGAGCAACAGATACAAAAAACAAACGGTCACACTTTACAATAAGGTTCAATAGTTAATGTTAAGTAATGCATTTACTAACATGAACAAACCATGAACAATACATTTACTACAGTATTTATTCATGTTAATAAACGTTAGTTAATGAAAATACAGTTGTTCATTGTTAGTTCATGTTAACTCATGGTGCATTAACTAATGTTAACAAGCATGGACATTAATGTTAATAATGCATTAGTAAATGTTCAATTATGACTAATAAATGCTGTACAAGTATTGTTCATGATTAGTTCATGTTAGTAAATGCATTAACTAATGAACCTTATTGTAAAGTGTTACCAAACAAACAAACATGTTTCATGGTTCAGGGATCAGCAAAGTGGTTTGAGTGACTAGCAGAAGTCACTCATAATATTGGAAGAGTATACAGACAATTACTGCCATAAATATGACATTGTTCATGGGAAATGTACAGTTCTTAGATCAAGTCCCATTCTACTTGTGCCACAAACAACACAGACTAATTTGGAAATATTAAAAAAAAAATTTAATTGTTTGGGAATTAAAGGTACTAGTTGTTAAAGATTGTAATGAAAACAAAAGTTCATTTGACACTGTGTTAAACATGCTTCTGTCCCAACACATTTAGGGAGTGTTGCAGCAGTCAAATAAAACAAATGTTTATACAATACTTCCAAAATATATTTTATTTGGTCTGTGAAAACAATGATTTTTTTTTTTTTTTTTTTGGAATTTAGAAAATTAAACAAAGTTGTCATTGATTGTTTGCATTTTATAAGAAATGCTAACTCTCTTGTAATAGGAGATGTACAAATGGTCATATCTTGAAAGGATAGTTCACCCAAAATTGAAATGGTCATCTGAAATATAGGTGACTTTTAAACATGTTTTTACAACATTCCAGCTGACACTGTGGTCCTTAGTGATTCATATAATGAAAGTCAATAGCTACTGGCACTTCAAGAGTCAAACTGAATGAATAAATAAATTTAAACCACGTTTAAAGAAGTTTTAAACAAGTAATGCAAATGGGATAAGGAAATTGCAAGAAAACAAATATACACACGTACGTACATACATACAGGGGTTGGACAATAAAACTGAAATGCCTCATTTTAGATCACAATAATTCATTAGTATGGTGCAGGGACTCCTTTTACAGCCAATGCAGCATAATTTTGTCGTGGGAATGACAGATAAAAGGTTTGGGTTGTACACTTGTTTGGGGCTTCACACTGTAACTCACTCGAATGTGGGAAAGACAGTGAAGGAGGACTCAATAGAAAATGAAACATGTTTCACATTGTCCACAGCCCAAGATTTTTGCTGCTGGCAACATTGAAACTGATGTTTGGCTTTGGCACAAATGACCAAAGGATTGGCTGGACATCTGTTTCAGACCGCTGCCTCTTGCATCCACAGTTACTTCTGTTGTATGTGGTTCGTCGATCTTGGTAGTATGCTGACATTACCCTGGATACCGTGGCTCTTGATGCGTCAAATAGACTTGCTTTCTTGGTCACAGATGCGTCAGCAAGATGCGCACCAACAATTTGTTCCCTTTTGAACTGTGATATGTCACCCATAATGTTATGTGCATTGCAATATTACTCTGCTAATTAAACCTTCACTCTCTGCTCTTACTGGTGGAATGTGTATTCAGTAAAGATTGGCCACCAGGCTAGTCAGATTTAGCCATCATACTTTTAACACTAAATTGACCAATGTTTTAGTTTTATTGTCCAACCCCTGTACATACATACATACATACATACATACATACATACATACATACATACATACTGTACATACATACATACATACATAACATACATACATATATACATACATACATACATACATACATGCACACACAAACATACTTAATTTAAGATATATTGTCTAAAATAATGTGTTTCTTTACAGACTGGATTATGCTGAGGCTTGTTTCATTCTGACTTGTCGCTGTGTGGCTGACCGCAATGCAGCAGTATGTATTCTTGAGATTTGTAATCAATTTTAAATCATTAAAGGTGCAACTCAGCTCCTGGGGACCTACTGTGCTGCCTTGTTTCCTTACAATTTGCTTCAGCACATCTGCATATTTTCAAGATTTTTAGGTGTTCCTGAAAAACTTGATTAACTGTAGAGATCTGTTAAGCTGTTGGGTTCTCTTAGAAAATATTTTGCTGAGTTATGTTTGTGTAATGTTCATTAATATTCCAGCTTTATTTATACATTTTCAGGATTATCAGACCATCCTGCGTGCTTGGGCAGTGAAGGATTTTGCTCCAGGCTGTACTCTTTTTGTTCAGATTCTCAAACCAGAAAACAAATTTCATGTGAAATTTGCAGGTACTGTTAAATCTGTCTTTAATTCCATACTGTCTCAAATAGTATATACATTCATAGAAACAACTTTTTTAATACAAAGTTATACTGTGATGTCTACTTTCAGATCATATTGTTTGTGAGGAAGAGTTTAAATTTGCCATGCTGGCCATGAACTGCATCTGTCCTGCAACATCTACATTCATCACCCTTCTGGTGCACACCTCACAAGGCCTGTGGGTACACCAGCCTGATCACATATCGTCTTGCTTACATATGCAATTTAGAAGGAAACAAAATTAAAGTAGAAATTTAGAAGGAGATTATGTCATAATATGGCCTGCATTTGTGGATTATGTTCCTTTATTTGCATGCATGCAGGGTCACTTGCACAATACGATATATATGAGCAGCTATTGCCCAAATTTCATCTGGTGATTTTGCGTTGTCGGCATAGAGGCATAACAACACAATGTCCCTTTCAGTCAGTCACTGCAAGTTACGTTATAACATGACTAACACTTGGCATCCCTATGGAAAGCATCACAACTACCACATTACACATTTGGTGTGATATTGCCAAGCTACTATAAGCAGCACCAAAGGCATAACCATCAATTTTTCTCAGTGTCCCTGGAATTTTAAAGGTAGTTGTGATGAGATCACCTAGCTAAGCTAAGGCTAGTTATTTTGAATATGACAGTGCATTGGGAAATCAGTCCAGTTCAGTTCTAAAGGAGAAGAATGCTGTTGAGCCACATACTACCCATAAAGGAGATACAGCATAGCCCATACTGTAAGGGTTGGCCCTAATGACAAGCATTACATATGGATAAGATGGTTAGCTGGTTGTGAAAACATGGGTTAATCCAGGGGTAGAATGTGTAGTAATTAGTAAATGTTGGTGGACTTAGTGGGCATACAGTTTAATTTAAAGGTAATCCAACACCTAACTTCTTCGTTAGGTGCTGGGGTCTTGGAGGAACTCTCTAGAGTTCACTGGCTGGGGAACTTAATAGCAGAGTGCAATAAGTGCAAGCATGGCACAGCAAGAGGTGACACTGAGGGAATTTTCTTTCGATAACCTGGTGTTACCCAGCAAGCAGGAAGAATCCAGTTTCACTTTGAGATTGTCATATCTTACTAATCTTTTAGGTGTTGCCTAGCCTATGACTGTTAGAAAGGTACCTCACACTAATGTATAAAAAGAGGCAACTCTCGTTGGTGAATGAGCTCTCATCCTCAGGCACAGCTCACTTTGCGACTGGTATGCAGAGGTGATGGGATCCACTATCCAGTATGGGCCAACCTCTGTTTAGAGACAGCATTCCCTTCCTCCGCTCCAAATCAGACTGAGAGCCCAGAAATGTAAAGTTCTGTGTATGCGGTCAACATTAATGCAAAAAAAGTGAACAGGACACAGCAGTGCTAAGGCTGGGCCTTCCTTCTTCCAATTCAGCCTCCCCTCCAACTCACTCTGAAGAAGAAATAGCGCAACAGGAATCTTGCAAGTTTGAGGGTCTTCTCTAAGATAAGAGCACCACTTAACAAACTGATTGCACTTTAGGGTGTACTGTAGGGGCCTGCAGAGAGAGATCTTGCTTGAGTTATAGCATCAACTTAACCCGGGTTCATTGTGGAAACGTAGTCCCGCAGACGATTCTGGAGACCGCGGAATACGTCCCGGCGGGTACATACGGCTGCAGTTTTTGTTTTTGCGAATCTGCGAGAGGTCGCTGTTGTGCACTTTTTCGCGTCTCAGGGTGCTTTCACATCTGTAGTTCACTTCATTTGGTCCGGACCAAGGGTAATAAATTATACATTGTTGCATCTTCTGCCGTCTTTGGGTCGTTTTCACACCACAATGATTGCTTTGGTCCGAACCAGTTGAAACGAACCAAAATGCAGTCATCTTACAAAATCCACATCTGTCATTGGCCAGATGTTGTTGAACATATTTCCTAAACTGCTTATTGATTGGTCAGAGTACACATGAGGGAAAATGCCAGTGAACTCCTGCAGGTAAACAAAAAACCTTTTACTCTGGAGGGTAGATAAACTATACATTACGAAAATGAAGCGCGGCCGCGGCTGGAAAACAATGTTTAATGCATCGCTCGTCACTTCAGGAGGAGACGTGAATTAATTTAGCTGAGACATGGTCATCTTGCGGAAATATTACCAACGATCCATCAGGTAATGTTTGCCCCTCTCTCTCTCTGTTGGTAAAGTGCTGTCAACAAATATTTTTCCTCCATATCCCATAATGCACAGCGTATCGGCCTACGGCAACTGCACTAGTCCAAAACGCGCAGTACTTTTTGCGGTTGGACCTGTTTTACTACGAATCATATTCTCACCACAAACGAACCACTCCAGGGTTCGTTTGAAAGCGTACCGAGACCACCTCTTCAAGCAGGTCTTGGTACGTTTATTTGGTCTGCTTTTGGTGCGTACTTGAGTATGATTGCTGCATTCTCGCCTGCCCAAACGAACCGCACCAAAAGGGGAAACGAACTCTAGTGCGATTCAATCGAACTTAATAAGGCAGGTGTGAAAGCCCCCTCAGACGCCTCTCGTGAGTGTGGTTCACGCCCGCGCTGTTCTCGCTTGAACCTGCCGGAGGCCGCTGTCCGACTGACCGGATGATTGACTGCGCGACCGGCCAATTGGCCGACCCGCCCTCCTCCTTCCCTGAACCCAACCAATGTTACCGATCGTCCCGCCTGCCCGCTCGCTTCCCTAAACCTGAGCAACAGTTTACAAAAGCCATCCAAAAAAAGAAAAGCCCTGATTTTTTTTTTTACCTCTTTTTCGGATTTCGCCGCGTCCTCACCCTGTTACGAAACTCGTTCACTTAATTTTTGGGATTCTGTTTTTCTCTTACCTGATTGCTGGAACCCCTCTTTCCGGACTCGAAACCGATCGCCGCAGTCGACTCCTCTCTGCATCTCAAGCCTGCCGACGTACACGGTGAGCTGAGTGGACAAACGGGTTGCAGCGGGGAAGCCCTCCACAAGGAGGTAAGCGGTTGGTCGGCCGGCAAGCGCGAAAGGGAACAGCGTCACACCGCCCCTCAGCGTTCGCTTGAAAAAAATAAGCGTGGCCGTACGTACCTCCCGGGACGTATTCCGCTGTCTCCAGAAACGTCCGTGGGACTACGTTTTCAGAATGAGCTTGGGATGCATCAACTACTACTGAAATAGGTCACTTAATTTTTCTGTATCCAGTTGAAACACAGGTGCCAGATAGTACCTGTCCCTGAAATGGTCTTAGTTAAATTTGTAATGAGAAGGTCTGGGTGAGCTTAGTGGCACAACCAGCAAGCCATGTTCCTTGTCCTGTCTGACTTGCACAGTGTCTGTTGCTTCATTTGTGTTCTTGTTTGTCAACCTGCAGGATTCCCTGTTGGTAAACCTGTCTCCTTTTATTGATAGATGCTCTTTGTTTGTCTATATCAGAGGTCACCAAGCTCGCTCCTGGAGGTCCGGTGCCCTGCAGGGTTTAGCTCCAACTTGCCTCAACACACTTGTCTGCGTGTATTAAGTATACCTAGTACGAACTTGATTAGCTTGTTCTGGTGTGTTTGATTATGGTTGGGGCGAAATCTGCAGGACACCGGCCCTCCAGGAACAAGTTTGGTGACCCCTGGTCTACATGTTCAGATAGAGCCAGTGGTCTTCACAGCACCCTTTCAGATTAGTCTAGGAATGCTGTTAGTAATCTAGTGGATTCCCAATGCGGTCACAATAGAACAGCTTCTTTCTTTTCTTCATACGTACATATGTACTGAAACCTTCACCTAAAACAGAAAATCATAATTAAATTGGATGTTATAAATGATGTACGTGTATCTTTTGCAGAGAGGGCCAGCACTCTCCTGAGGACTGGCACAGAATTTATGGCAAATGCTCAGGAAATGAAGTGTACAGTATAGTTCTGAACAAAAGCATCTTCTTTTCTGAGTATGAAGGAAACAACTTTGCTTATGCATCATTTAACGCATATAATAAGTGAGTATCTATATTTATTAAGAAATTCTTTTGATATCATAGGATAGTAAAAATTACAAAGGACACTTCTTAGATGTATAAGTTGTGTAATTTTGTATCTATTATTTTAGGTATGGCATCTGTCTCATTGGAGTCTGTCCTGAGGACACTAAGAGCATTCTGCTGAATCCTGGTGCTCAGTATACCATGAATGCCATGGACACGTGCTTCTATATCAGTCTCACCAAGGAGGAAAACTCCTATGTTAAGCAGAGAGAGTGTGGAAACAACAGCAAGACTCAACCGCCAATGGGGAGTGCCATTACAAGACCAGGTCAGACAAATGTTTTGCATTAGAAAGAAAAAAACTGTACATTTCTTCAAGTTCAAGTTTATTTATTCATAGAGCACATTTAAAAGCAGTCACAAGACTGACCAAAGTGCTGTACATAAGACAAGGTAAAAATAAAAAGATTTCTTTACATGGCAATATTAAAAATATAAATCATTTTGAAAGTCTCTTCTACTCACTAAGGCTGTAATTATTTGATCAAAAATAACATAAAACAGTAATATTGTCCAATGTGACAATATTTTTATAGTTTTGTTGTATAGTTTTGTGGAAGGTGGGACCATAAAACTAATGACTACCCAATAAACACATTGTACACATACACGTTGTAGCGATGTCTGTACAACGTTGCATTTTTTTCAAAGGCGACGTTGCCACTTATGTGCTTGCTACATTGTCACAACGTAGAAATGTAAGACGTGAGAAGGCTGTAGCAATGTTGTCATGTAACATTTAGCAACCGTGAGACGACGTTCTTACTACATGTATTAATGTTTTTTTTTTCTTGGCAGTTTATGATTACTGCCAACAATACAGGATAAGCATTAATAATTTAATATTATTGCTTAATATCAAATATTATTCATTTATTTTTCTTTTTTTAATTTAACAACTGCACGTGTAAGCTTTGAAGTGTAAAAATTATCACACAAATTATTATAATTAAACTTTTTTAATATATATTTCACAGCATTTAATACCTACAGTACAGATCTAATTATATTAAATAATTAACTATATATAATGAAACTCAAAGGGTAGGCTAAATTAAAATTTCAATTGAGAGGGTAAACAAACAAAAAAAGTAAACAAGAAAGCATTAAAATGTAAATATACAAATAAATAAAATGCAGACATTACATTGAAGAGAGCGCAGCTGAAGACCAGGGGTAGTTGTTAGTACAGAGAAAGCAGTCAGAGAAAGAAATGCAACAGAGAATCCAGTTTAGAGATGGATCCACAGCAGCCACAAGTGAAAATAGGCAGTGAACAAAAGGACTACACAAATGACCACTGATGGCTTACTTAGCAAGAAGAAATGAAGCAATACTCATGTCTCCTCCGTTGTTGGTATGTGAGACACTGAACGATCTGTTAAAATTTAAACTGATTCATTGATGAGGAGTAAATGTTGTACAGTGGTCATCCATGCCGCCTATAAGCACAACCTAAAGCAATGGGTTGACGCAGTTAAAATAGCAACGTTATGACACTGTTGTGACAACCTTCAGCAAAAACGTAGATCCTCAACCTTTTTACAAGGTTGGTACAATGTTGTAGGAAGGTCGTTACATTGAGGCAACGTTGTGTGTTTGTTGGGTACCTAATAACTAACTAAAGTCTTTATTTTAAACATCTCTAATTTTTTAAGTTTCTAATTTTATTCATTAAAATATTAAGTGAAGATCATGTTCCATGAAGATTCTTTGTAAATTGTCTTTTGTAAATACATTAAAACTAATTTTTTGTATTAGTAATGTTTTGCTAAGCACTTAATTTAGACAAATCTAAAGGTAATTTTCTCAGTATTCAGATTTTTAGGAACCCTCAGATTTCAAATTTCTAAAAATTGTATCTCAGCCAAAAATGGTCCCATCCAAACAAATTATTCACCAATGCAAAGCTTCAGCTTTCGTGGGATAAATAAATCTCAATTTAGAAACACTGACGCTGGTATTGTGGTCCAAGGTATCAAATATCAAAGCCATTTAAAATGGCTATCTTCAGTTTTGTTGTATTTTAAAATGAAATACTTTTTTCTGTGCTGGCAAAGCTAATTTTGTGGCTTTTGGGTGTAAAAAAAATTCTATTATGTATCATTATTGTTTTTATTTTATTTTATTATTTGATTTATGATACATTTATATACTATCTGACAAAAGTGATGTCATCAGTTGCAGTTGTTAGAGCAACAAATAATAATTTGTGGCTAATACAAGTGGCAGAAGGTAGATTTTCTGATAAATCATCAAGATTCTAATGGAGATCAGCCAAGTTTGGTAAAGTAAAAATCACGATATGGGGTTACATTCAGTATGACGCTGTCTTAAAAATCAGCAGAGTGAATAGCAACATCAACTGCCTGACGTATAAAGACATTTGTGCTGCCCATTACATTACAAACCACAGGAGAGGGCAAATTCTTCAGGAGGATAGCGCTACTGAAAGTAAATAAGAGGTCAAGGTGCTCCAGGATTGCCCATCCTAGTTACCAGATATAAACTTTATTGAGCATGTCTGGGGTAAGATGGAGGAGGCATTGAAGATTAATACAAAGAATCATGATGAACTCTGGGAGTCCTGCAAAAACGCTTTCTTTGCCATTCCAGATGACTTTATTAATTAGTTATTTGAATCATTGCAGAGATGTATGAATGCAGTTGTCCAAGCTCATGGGAGTCATTCACTATATTAATTATTTTTTCACTGCACCATGACTTTATATTCAATACTGTACATTGTTTCTGTTGAGTGACAAGATGTTTGTCTAAGCAAAGTCAGACCTTACTGTCCTAATGAAATAATTAAAAATTAAGGCATGATCATATTTTATTTTGGTAAAATAAGCTTAATCTAGAGGCCTTTGCCCTGTATATAAGCCACTTCCGATACCAAATAATCAACTAGAAGTCAAGTTATATTTTGTTATTCCTAAAACTTGGATAGGTAAGACTGTTGTCAGGTAGTGTATACAGTAAATATTTAATAACACTTATACAAATATCAAGTATTCACATCTTGCAATAGTCGATATTAACAGAGGGGTCAAACAGTGACTTGCTATGTGGACATGTTTGAGTGGACATCATTCTTGAAATTATGTCCTCATTTACTGGCTCATTCAACAGGACAGGACAATGCTGCAGTTCACAATACTTTCTGACAAAGATTTTACAGGAGAATAATGTTGCTTTTTTGGACTGTCTGGTTGCATTAAGTATGTTGAAAGAAACGTTTGAAGTGATCAACAAGGGCAGTGGGGCTACTCACTAGTGAGTCTATGTTTTGATTCTCAGGTCTGTTGAATTTTTCTCAGAGGCTTACGGTTGAGTGGCGTGGTGGCTCTGGTCTCTAGTTTAAGTCCCAGCTGGACCAGGAGGCATTTCTATGTTTGCATGTTTTTCTTTTCTATACATAGAGTGCCTTCTCTTTTTTGACACTTGCTCCAGAATCTTCTTTTGTCATTTTAAAGCAGTACTTTCAATCTAGTTTTAGTGCACCAGTGCAAAATATGAATACAAAAGTTCCCTTGGACTTTTGATCTGGATGGTAATTTAAAAGTGTTTACTTTTACTTATAATTACAGTATATGTATTCTTGCTGTAAAAAGGGTGTATGTTTTATTAAAAACAAAAATATCAAAAATTCTGAAGGGCAGTACGTATGAAAAAGGCTGGTTCCCTTTTTAATTTTTTTTTTTTTAATCGAAAACACTTTGTTTTAAAATATATGTTATGAAGAAAGTGAATGACATTTACAAAATGACAAACATCAACATAATATTTGCATCTGCAAATGTATACATGATTAAGATACAATGTAATGTAATATTTTCTTTGATTTTCATCCATTTTTGTATTTCTTAAAGGGACCATGGCCATAGATATACAGGAAATAAGCATTCCATCCAGTTTAGAACCATCGCTCTCAACTGGAGCTAATACATCTGAGAGAAGACAACCAATCATTATTCCTGTTCTAGAACTGCCTGATTCACCTTCTTTTCAGGCTAGCAAGCTACTCAGTGGTCAGTCAAAGAGTCACATAAATGGAGATGAAAGCAATGATGGGTAATATAACCTCTCAGATATCTGCTCCTGAAAGATGTTTAATACACTGCAATATATATATATATATATATATATATATATATATATATATATATATATATATATGTATATATATATTGTGTGATTGTGTGTGTGTGTGTGTGTGTGTGTGTGTGTGTGTGTGTGTGTGTGTGTGTGTATTCTAACATAGATTTTTTTGTCTTGTTTCTGGTACAAATATCTTAAAATTTGTAAATGAAGAAGCTTTTTTAGACAAGCAAAACACTCAGTCTTGTTTTAAGAAATACTATGTAAAAAATAAGTGAGTTTTTCTTAAAACAAGATAGATAATCGGCAATGCTTAGGGTAAGCTAAATTATCCTGTCAAAAGGAAAAAATCTATTAATTTTGTTACCCCATTAGAAAGTAATTTTGGCATATTATTTCTTAAAATAAGACAATATTTTCTGCTTGTAAAAAAATCCTTTTTGATTTAATGTTTGGACTTGAAAAAATACAAGAAATACCTTTTTTTTTTGCACTGTAGTAGTTATTAGTCAGAAACTGAATTACATTAAGCCAGATTAGGAATATGATTTCCTGAACTCTTCTTTTTTTGCTTGTTTTCAGTTACTTTATAGGATATCCTCCAAATTTACCCTACATTGGAAGCTCGACAATCCTTTGCCATTTACGAAAAAAGAAAATGCCCACATGTTGTATGCATCTGGAAAAGGTAACAAATGATATATACAGTTGAAGTCAGAACTATTAGCCCCTTCCTGTTTATTTTTTGCCCAATTTCTGTTTAACAGAGAGAAGATTTTTATTCAACACATTTCTTACCATAATAGTAGCAAACTTAAGAAGCTGAGGACCGGGGGGTGTTTGGTTCTAATCAAATCTAAAATGATCTAAAATTATGTTTTTCATACATAGAGCACATTACCTTCAAAAAATTGGCTTACTAAATAAACTTCTGCTTTTATTAAACAAGAGCATATTAAAATATAAACATATTTTAACAATGAAAAGATTTCTCTTAAAAAAAATTTTAAATTACAGTCTTTCTTGTGAACTCACAGCAGCACTCCCTTTTACTCTGATTATAATAAATGTTGAGCACAACATCAGCATTTAAGAATGTTTTCTTTTTAAAATATAATAAAATAGAAATAAGTATAAAACAAAACTAAGACAGTGGGCCCTATCATACACCCGGCACAAGGCATTATGCAGTTGTTGTTTGCTAGTTTCAGTTCATTTTCAAGAGCCATTTTGATGTTTTCCACCACTCTGTTTAAATAGCAAATGCATTTATGCTCATATGTGCGCTTATAGACGTTCTGATTTATAAAAGAGGTGTGGTAAGGCGCATTGCTGGCGCATTGATATTTTGAGGAACTAACATAGGCTGCACAATAGATAAGCTAAGAGGAGGTCTACAGTCCAGCGCAGAGCGCGTTAGTTGTGCACCTCTCTTAAACTTTGCTTAATACACACAGGATGTACAGCAACACGCAAATATCTTTACAAATGAAAAAGAATTGAAAGATTAAAATATTACAAAAATTATTATTTTTTAGCCTACATAAATAGAAAAATCATGCTTTTATGCCTTCTCCATCTCGGGGGGCTCTTCAGTTTATTTATGACAATTAGTTTTTGTATAATATTATTATTAGTAGTAGTAGTATTTATTATTTGCATGTTTATATTTGTATTATTGAAAACAAGCTTAGATTTGTCCACCAGAAAGGTTTTAGACCATATGGGGCATTGCATGTGTATTTGGATATAACTCAGTTTTTTAAATCTTTGAGCTTAGCAATCTAAATTAATTATGTACTGTAGGCTAACGGATGTCTGTGTGTACAACTCTGTTTCCTTATCCACAAGAGTGAAAGTAAAAGTAAAGAATGAGGAGGCTCATTCTCGGTTTAACTGTTTTCTTGCTGGTGAAGCGCTCAGTTTTTACACTTACAAAGTCCAACATGTAAATAGCAAATGCGCCATGGCGTGACGCAACTGACTCTCAAAGGGATTGGGATATGCAACTTTGATTGGTTTATTCTCAAAAAACACCTATAACTCATTAAAAGAATAAGCTCAACCCTATTTTTAAATAGTAAAAGTGGATTCTGACATGGCCTTAATGCTTTTTCGCCCTGCACTTTGGACATTGTGCCTGGATCGTCAAAATAGAGCCCATAGTGTGCTTTGTTTCGTTAAAACAGGTTTTTAAGAATCTCTAATTTTATGTTTCATTTACATTTAGTCATTTGGCAGATGCTTTTGCTCAAAACAACTTAGAGAATGAGGAGACATTCAGCGATTCAAGAAGAAGCAATACATGCGAGAGGCGCTTATTATACAAAGAAACTGCTAGTGCTCAGATAATTAGGTGCAAAAGTAAGGGGGAGGTTTTTTTTTTTTAATGAAGATAAGAGTAAAGAGTCTTTCTACAGGAAGGGGGAGGTTTTTTTTTTTAATGAAGATAAGAGTAAAGAGTCTTTCTACAGGTGGTTTGTCAAGCCCACTCACCTGTGTGAAGCACACTTTATAAATATTGAGGATTTTTGTCTGTTGCAAATGTGCAAAACCAGTGCATGTGTCAGTTAAATTATTAGAGAGATGAAAAAGTGTGTTTTATACAGGTGGTTTGTCAAGCCCACTCACCTGTGTGAGCCACACTCACTTTGAGGTTTTACAGGTGATAGAGGAAGAGATTTCTAGTTTTTAGTTGTTTTAGTAATTGTTTGAATGATAATGAGACTAATCTTCTTCTTGTAATGTCAGTTTTTGTCCAAGACCTGCAACCACAAAGACGATGAAGATGCAAAAGTGTATAGTTTGAAGAGTAAGCTGGTCATTGTGTCTGTTGAGACAGCAGGAAACAGCCTGTACAACTTCATCCTCCCATTACGAGCCTCGTACAGACCACAGAATGAACTGTGGCCCATTGTGCTGCTCTTGGAGCATGTGTAAACATCATTTTTACACAACTCTTCTTCACTTTCTACTGTTTTGTAGTCATGAAGAGTGCTACAATGTCATGTTTCTGTGTGGTTTCTTTGTCTTTTAGACCGGATGAAGAATTTCTTGAGACGATCAGTTGGTTTCCAATGATTTACTACTTGCTTGGATCAATCGACAGGCAAGAGACGTTATTATGAAACATTATCATGTTTGCTTGTATCCTGGCCTCGAATAATCAATTTGCAGTTGGTCCTCCGGAAGGAAATAAGCCTGCTGCTGTGCACCGAGAGTCACCTTACTGAGATCAAAGCTCAAAGAACGAGTCTAACTGTAAAATCAGGGAACAAATAAGCAACTTTGATAAAAACAAGCATAAGAACACACTGCAAATAAATACTTTTCTTGATTCTAGTTATCTAAAAAAATCTTAAATCAAAAAGAATTTTTGTGACAAGCAAAAAAAAATATTGTATTGTTTTCATAAATAAGTCAGAATTAACATAAATATAACATTTGAGTTTTTCCATAAAATGAGCAAAGTACTGTAGTCTGTCAATAAATAAAGCATACATTTCAAAGTGAAAACTGTAACATCTGTTGTAGTGCCCTCATGTGGATACTTGAGGGGTCAGTATATCCTTTGGTCATTGGATTTTCATTGTAGAAACCGATATTGAAATATATATATATATATATATATATATATATATATATATATATATATATAGTATTTGGGGTGAAGACGCAGTCTTAAAGCTTATTATCAACCATGGCAAAATTTTTGTAATGCTGAAGATTTTGGAAGGCATTGGGATGCTTATGATGGTATTTTTGAAGCATGCTAAATGCCTTTTGGATTAAATGAATAATGTTTATTTGGATATTAAACCATAACACGGAGAGATGACTTGTTGAAATGTGTGCAGTGATTGCAAACTAATGTCCAATGTTACTGCCACTCCAGAATTCAATTCAATTCCATTCAGCTTTATTTGTATAGCGCTTTTACAATGTAGATTGTGTCAAAGCAGCTTCACATAAATGGTCACATTAACTGGAACAGTGTAGTTCAGTTTTTAGTGTTTAAGTTCAGTTCAGTTCAGTTTAGCTCAGTTCAGTGTGATTTAATCATTACTGAGAGTTCAAACACTGAAGAGCAAATTCATCGATGCGTTGCTCTACCAATCCTGAACCATGAGAGCCAGTGGCGACAGTGGAGAGGGGAAAAAAACTTCACCTGATGGGAGTGAAGAAAAAAAACCTTGAGAGAACCAGACTCAGTTGGGCATGACCATTTTAATTTCTCCGCTGGCCAAAAGTCTTGTGCAGAACTTCAGTTGCCGTGGTGGAGGCTGGAAGATGGCCTCATCGTCTGTCCCTGGAGCGTCGCTGGAATCAGACTCATGTTCTCCACTCTCCACGACCATCAGCGCAGCAGCAGCTCAGGATATGGCCTGGTCCCGGATATGGAGTCCTTGGGATCATCTCGTCACTGGTCTTGGATCCAATCAGTGACTCCGCATAATCTGAGGACCTCGGGATGAGTATCCCCAGGTGGAAATAGAGAATAAAGAGAATAATTAGCGTAGCTGCTGTTCATAGTGTATATAAGCAAGATGCAAAAGCCTGTGTGGAACCCGCTAGGTGATGCATTGAGTGTATGCTTTACTAAACAGAAAGGTCTTTAATCTAGTTTTGAACTGGGAGAGTGTGTCTAAGCCTCGGACGTTATCAGGAAGGCTATTCCAGAGTGTAGGAGCTATAAAGGAGAAGGCTCGACCTCCTTTACTTGATTTTGTTATTTTAGATACTACCAGAAGCCCTGAATTTTGAGATCTTAAAGAGCAAGTTGGATTGTAGCGAGACAGAAGGTTGGTTAGATAAACAGGAGCTAGGTTATTTAGAGCTTTATAGGTGAGAAGTAATATTTTAAATTCAATACGAAACTTAACAGGCAGCCAGTGTAAGGAGGATAAAATAGGGGTGATATGATCATATTTTCTAGACCTGGTCAGAACTCTGGCTGCTGTATTTTGTACTAATTGAAGTTTGTTAATAGAGGATGCTGGGCAGCCAGCAAATAGAGCATTACAGTAATCCAGCCTCAAAGTCATAAAAGCATGGACTAGCTTTTCTGCATCTGAGATGGATAGCATATTTCGTATTTTAGCGATATTTCTCAGATGAAAGAAGGCAGTTTATGTGACATGGGATATATGGTTTTCAAAAGTTAGATTGCTGTCTAATATGACACCCAGATTTTTTATAGTAGAGCTAACCCTAACTTTGTATCCCTCTAATTGTAGATTGAATGCGAGATCTGCTGTGTGCAAGATTTAGGCCCAGTAAGTAATAATTCTGTTTTGTCTGAGTTTAAGAGAAGAAAATTGTTGGTCATCCAGTCTTTAATGTCTTTGATACACTCAGTTAGTTTAGACAGTTCAGACGTCTCGTCGGGTTTTAGAAGTGGAAGTGATTTTAACAATCAAAGTTTTTTTTTTCTTCAGAAAACTTCTGTAAAGCAAACCAAATATATTTATGATCTGAGCATATTTTGTCATATATGTTGTTCCATTTAAAATGCTGCTATGTAAAAAAAAATTATAAAAAAAAATAATGATTATATATATATATAAATATATATATATATATATATATATATATATATATATATATATATATATATATATATATATATATATATATATATAAATATATATATAAATACACAGTTGAAGTCAGATTTATTAGCCCCTCCTGTTTATTTTTTTCCCCAATTTGTGCTTAACGGAGAGAAGATTTTCTAAAAACATTTCTAAACATAGTAGTTTTAAAAAACAATTTCTAATAACTGATTTGTTTTATCTGTCATGATGACAGTAAATAATATTTTGCTAGATATTTTTCAAGACACTTTTATACAGCTTAAAGTGACATTTAAAAGCTTATCTAGTTTAATTAGGTTAACCAGGCAGGATAGGGTAATTAGGCAAGTTATTGTATATCGATGGTTTGTTCTGTAGGCTATCGAAAAAAATATATAGCTTAAAGTGGCTAATAATATTGACCTTAAAATGGTGTTTAAAATTTTTTAAAATGCTTTTATTTTAGCCGAAATAAAACAAATAAGACTTTCTCCAGATTAAAAAATATCATCAGACATACTGTGAAAATTGACTTGCTCTGTTAAACATTATTTGGGAAATATTTCTAAAAGGAAAAAAAAAATTAAAAGGGGGCTAATAATTCTGACTTAAACTGTAAACATGTATATATACTGTATAAAGTAGGCTAGCCTGTATGTGGCAGTATTATCATTGTGAATGAGTCGTCCTACCAGGTGTTGGAATATGTAAAAAAAAAAAAACAAGCCTTTATTTTAGAATTTCACCATGAAAAAGAAAACCGCCTCGTATTTCAATATTCATCTTTTAATTTGAAAACAAAAATCCAAAATTTATTTTTCAATGTTTCTGTAATGAAAATCCAATGACCAAAAGATACACCGACCCTGATCAGTACAATAATTCAGAAGATAATTAAGTATCTTAATCAAGAGTTTATGCACTCAGCACCTCATAGCATCAGTATTATCTCACTAGGGATTGGTAACAGAGCTTATATCTATAAAAACACACCATCACTGTAGTGCTTAATTATGCATGCAACATATTCTCTGCCTTTCCTTACAGCCTGGATGACCTGTTGCGTTGTGGCGTTTCTTTTGCTGCCAGCATGGTGGTTGTGGATAAGGAAAGCACCATGACTGCTAAGGAGGACTACATGGCGGATGCAAAAACCATAGTTAATGTTCAGACTCTGTTCAGGTGAGAGATCTTGAGATTCTCAAGGAGGTTCATTACTTACATCAGGCCTTTTATTGTTACTCAGACACTTTATGCCATGTTCAGACTGTGCAATATTGTAGTTGCAAGGGTGGTTGTACGGTGAACTCCTTTGAACTCCTAAATTCTTGTCATCTTGTCGGCTCAAAAACCTGTTAGAGTATTTGTTGCTTACACACGGAGGTATCAAGACATTTGTGCTGCCCATTACATTACAAACCACAGGAGAGGGCAAATTCCTCAGCAGGAGAGTGCTCCTCCTCATACTTTAGTCTGTACATCAAAGTTCCTGAAAGCAAAAAAGGGTCAAGGTGCTTTAGTTTTAGATTGGCCAACCCTGTCACCAGAATGAGCATTAGTAAGTCTTGGGTAAGATGAAGAAGAAGGCATTAAAGATTCAATTCACCTTTATTTTTATAGCTTTTTTACAATGTAGATTGTGTCAAAGCAGCTTCACATAGAAGATTATAGTGAATTGAAAATGTCTGTTCAGTTTTCAGAGTTTAAGTTCAGTTCAATTTAGCTCAGTTCAGTGTGGTTTAACATTCCCTGCTGAGAGTCCAAACACTGAAGAGCAAATCCATCGATGCGCAGGAAATCCACCGAACCATGCAAGCCAGTGGGACAGCGGCGAGGAAAAACTTCACCAATTGACGAATATGAAGGAAAAAAAAAAACCTAGAGAGAAACCAGGCTTGATTGGGCACAACTATTTGTCCTCTGGCCAAATGTCTTGTGCAGGAGGCTGGAAAACGCTGGACATCAATGAATGTGTGTCAAGCACATTTATGCGTCATACCATTATGTGTATGCTTTACTAAAAACATAGGTCTTTAATCTAGTTTTGAACTGTGAGAGTGTGTCTGAGCCTCAGACATTATCAGGAAGGCTATTCCAGAGTTTAGGAGCCATAAATGAGAAGGCTCAATGCCCTTTACTCGACTTTGCTGTTTGAGGAGATGAATCCAAAGAATAAACTCTGGGGGTCCTATGGAAACATTTTCTTTGTCATTCCAAATGACTTTACTAAGTTATTTGAGTCGTTGCAGGGATATGTGGATGCAGTCGTCCAAGCTCATGGGAGTCATACACAATATTAATTATTTTTCCACTGCACCATGACTTTATATTCTATACTGTACATTATTTCTGTTAATTAACAAGACTTTTGTCTAAGCAAAGTCAGACCTTACCGTCCTAATTAAATGATTAAAAATCAAGGCATGATCATATTTTATTTTGGTAAAATAAGCGTAATCTAGAGGCCTTTATCTTTCATCTAAGCCACATTTGATACCAAATGATCAATGTTATAATTGATCAAGTTTTTATTTGTTGTTCCTAAAACTTGACAACAAGACTTTTGTCAAGTATATACGTACAGGTGCATCTCAAATTAGAATGTCATTGAAAATTTCATTAATTCGAATCAAAAAGTGAAACTCATTTATTATATAGAGATTTATTACACAGAGATTGATACATTTCATGTCATTATTCATTCATTCAATCATGCCGAATGATTTTACGAATACTATAACCTAAAAAATAAAATAAAATAAATAAATAAATAAATAAATAAATAATATGTTCCTATTAGTCAATAATTTCACTTAAATTAATTTGAAAACTGAATAAATATTAAACACATTTACACAATTAAATAAATAAACTCAGTGGTTGGCTAAAACTCTGTGGAACTGCTGAGGTGTTATAAAGCCAGGTTGCTCTGAGAGTGGCCTTCAATGAGTGTTGCCAGATTAGGGGGTTTTGAATTTGAGTGTGCGGGTAAAAATTGGCATAGGGGGGTTGACAAAATTTGGGTGGTTTTGAAACGTAAATTTTATATGTAACTTATTTAACAAAACATAACTCTGTGCTCCTACTTCATTCAGTTAGTAGTGACCAGTGCATAGTAAAAAACGCTTGGGCCCATCCCCAAGAGGAGGTGAAGGAAAGTTGTATCAAAATCTGACGCTCCATACAAATCTGACTCCCCTTCGCGTGAACGAGCATCAAGCAGCAACTGTAGTTAAACTCACAACGATTAATCACTTATCGATCATCTTTTCTGGCAACTGACAGCAAGAACAAGCAAAGAAGCGCTGTCTGATTGACAAGCAGCACCTAATTATGTTCAAAAGAATTTTAAACACCAAATGGTACGAATTCATATCCCATTTCAAAGCAAAACATACACTTATTCAAAAATCTATACAGCAAGTGTGTGGGTAAGGAGGGGGCTGGGGGGGGGGGGGGGTAGTGTTTCAATGTGATCCGGTTAAGTTGTAGTTTTGTGACTGCTGGTGTTGGTTACAAAAATATGTGACTGTTAAAATAACTAGGTTAATTTCGATTTAAATAAATATTTTGGGTGTTTTGAGTGTGGGCGGGTTTTGGACAGCTTTTGGGCTGGAAAAAGTCATCTGGCAACACGGCCTTTATCCCTTCTGCATCATTGTGTCCTGCTGGAAAAATGTCCTGGTAGATGGCTGCAGTGGACCAACGCCAGCAGATAAAATGCCTCCCCAAACCACCCCTGACTGGAAACTTTACAATGGAGCAACTTGGATTCTGAGCCTCTCCTCTCTTCCTCAAGACTCTTGGACCTTGATTTCAATATGAAATTCTAAATATACTTTCATCTGAAAAGAGGACTTTGGCCCACTGAGAACAGTCCAGTCCTTTTTGTCCTCAGCCCAGATAAGACATCCGACTCATGTCTCCCTCTGCTGACCAGCTTTATTAAAATCCTGATTTGATTTTTCAGTAGGAATTGGTACCGGCCAACACTGCCAATTGTACTAATACATGGTTTAACGCCCATGGTATGCTTGTGCTTAATTGGCCAGCAAACTTGTCCGATTGGTATTAAGGGAATGATGTAAGATCTACCCAACACTGCAGAAGAACTATATGCCATTCTCAGATCAATCAGGGCTTCGTAAAACCTAAATAAATATCTAATCACAATATGCCATGTCACATTGCTAAGGTATTTAATGCAAAAGCATAGCCTAGATCAAATATTGAGTGCTTTACATGTTCATAGTGTTCAGTACTCTGTGTTAAAAACCCCTTTTTATTGGCCATAAGTAGCCCCACACGAAATGTGTGGGTGCACAGAAATCAGCAGATTTTTAGCCCACAGAGTATATTTATTTACTTGTGTAAATTTATAGTTATTCATTAATTCATTAATTTTCTTTTCAACTTAGTCCCTTTATTAATCTGGGGTCACCACAGCAGAATGATCTGCCAACTTAAGCTGAGATCACTCTGGGCTTTTTTCCCCATAGACTTCTATTCATATGCACGCAAATGGGTTAGACCGGAAACACAGGGTCCATGCGTCAAGTCGCATCACTTGACTGCGTGAGACCAACTGAGGTTAAAAACATGACCTCTCTGCACAAAAATTTAAAACGGAGCAATCGCTCGCTTTTTAAATGCCTACTAATCTTGTTTATTCCCGCTCCTTTTCGCAGCGCCACATGACAGAATTTCACATTATCAAACTCTACTGTGACCGCAGCATTATCCAGCATATGTTTTATGCAGCAGATGCCCTCACTGGGCCCTCATTTACCCATTGTAACACCTTGGTTCAGTACAGGAAGGCACAGGATCACAGGATTATCAAAACACATAGATATATTGATAATAATTACATGGATGAACACGGGAAGAACATAGTGTAAAAGCAGACATCAACAGAGAGAATACCAGACAAGGACTGAATAAAACTAAGGGGTATAAATACACAGGATGGTCACATGTCAAAAACAAACACTGAAGGAGGACAGGATGTGACAACCATCACTGGGAAAAAATATATTTAATCAGTTTTTAAATTAATTTCAGTAATAGTGTTGACTAATATGAAAGTTTTTATTTAATTTATTCACAATACAGTTTGTAAAGTAACATTTTCTGTCTTTTAGTAGATATATTACATGAGACTTGCTTTGTTCAGAAGGTCATTCGCAGTCATTGAATAATTGCTTAGTATAATTTTTATTTTACATTCTTCAGGTGATACAAATCACAGATGTTTCAGCACAATGCCTGGATTTTGAAGATGTATTGATATAAATTATGAGATAATTTTATTATAAATTATTTTTTTTATGTTTCGGACTGTCGTAATTTCATTGCATTGATGTAGACATGAATAAGTAAATGATGATAATTGATATGCTATTTTCATGTGAAATAATGTTTTTGAAGGTGAAGGTAAATATTTCTTGTGTGGTTAATTATGGTATATGGAAATGAAAATGAGATGTTGCGATACTTACAAAATAAGTCCACATAAATCTGCAGAGTTTTTACAAAATTCTGCACAGAAATAGCAAAAAATCTCCACAGATTCTGTCTGGCCCTAGCCATAAGTAATATTCACATTTTTTAAGATACTGAATTGTCTTATCTACTGTAATCCAAAATCATCAAAATGAAAGCAATTAAACACTTGAAATATATCATTCTGTGTGCAGTAAGTCTATATATGAGTTTCACTTTTAGAATTGAATTAGTGAAATTTAATTAACTTTTCGATGACATTCTAATTGATTAAAATGATTTTTCCTTAAATTCTTGTCATTTGAGCAACTTTCCTAGCACCAAGCTCTGGAAGGGCATGACCATTTATATTTGATTTTATGGTGAACTTATTGAAAAAGTTGTTTGTCTGTCTTTGTGATTGCAGGTTGTTCTCTGGTCTGAACATCATCACTGAGTTAACTCACTCTGCTAACATGAGATTCATGCAGTTCAGCACAAAGGACTGTCATTCCCTGGCATTCTCCAAACTAGCAAAGGTGAGGAAACATTCTTTTTTCCCTTCTCTTTTTTTAGTGATCATAGTCTTTTTTTTTCAAATCTTTGTCTTCTTTTTTTTTTCTTCTTCATGGAACAGAAAGAAAGAGAAAAAGGCTCAAACCTGTCCTTCATATTTCACCTTCCGTTTGCTGCTGGTAGGGTTTTCAGCATCAGCATGCTAGACACACTCCTCTACCAGGTAACACACTGAATATACACACATTAAGGCCCCGTTTACACTAATGCGTTTTTGTTTTAAAACGCATAAGTTTTGCTACGGTTACGCCATCTGTCCACACTACACCGGAGTTTTCGAGCGCCGAAAACGGAGAGTTTTGAAAACACTGGAGAGGCTGTTTTCATTCTGAAATGCTGCAGCTCCGTCTCAGTATGGATGAGGAAAAACGGAGATATCTGAAAACGGAGGCGGGATTGCTGAGATTCGCTACCTGATTGGGGCTTTTGTGTCATTGCGTATCCTTCCCTTATTTGTCAAGCCCCGATCACAAGACTATAACACATGGCTTTAACGCTACCGGACGCTACACTACAGTACTGTAAACAACGACATGGACACAGAAATGGGATCATTGTTTGCACTATTGTCTGTTTTAGGCGCCATTGTGCAGTTATTCATTTGTTGCGTTTAGTAACAACTCGACCTCGTTGTCTGTTCACAAAAATACCTCTCTTGCTTTTCTTGCAATCGCGTTCATTGTTCAACTGACGTTTGTTGACTAACAATAACCAAATGCCGAGCGATACGCATGCTTTCTGTTTATACTAGAACGTGCATGCCCAGAGTGCGCGAATGGTCATGTGATATACGTTTTTGGTGGCGTAGTGTGGACGGAGATATGTTCAGCGACGCTAGGTGAAACGCTAGTGTGGACGCGGATCGTTTTTGATCTAAAACGCAGTTTAAAACTAAAACGCACTGGTGTAAATGGGGCCTAAATGTGCTGCCTGTCAATCTCAGGTCATTTCAAATGAGAGGCTGCTAATGTCCACTAGATGGCAACATAAAAAAGGATAGTATCTTATTTAGTAAACTGTACAACAGGGATGCTTAACCTTGTTCCTGGAGATCTATCTTCCTGCATAGTTTAGCTCCAGCCCTGATCCAACACACCTGAAACTAATTAATTAGGACCTGAACAGTACTTAATAATTACAGGCAGGTGGGTTTGATATGGGTTGCAACCAGTAGTGTAAATTAACAAATTACAAACAATCAATGTACTGTAATTGAGTAGTTTTTTTTCTCAGAAATTGTACTTTATTGTACATTTTTAGTGCTGTATCAGGGTGTCTGCGGGGTCTTAAAAAGTATTAAGTGAAGTTTTTAAATTAATTTCAAGAGGAGCACGTGATATAATTGACTGCAGCTGGCCACCTATCTACACTCATTAGTTAGCCAATAAGATCTGTCCTAACTCACTATAAGTGGCCTAGCTAGATATTACTTACTTATATTACTTCGTTTTCCGAAGAAACCCCCCCATCCACCCCCTTTTCTCCTATACAAAAAAGGGGAGCTCTCGAGAACCACCTGATCTCGTACTCCCCTCACATGCTCTATGGACCTGGCGGGAGCCCTGGGCTCAACTATCTCCGAGCTCAGGGTTCTCTCCCGGGACAGCATGCCAAACCTGCTTACAGTTGTCAAGCAATATCTAAGTGTGAACTCTTGAAAAGTTGATAAATCAATGTAGAGAAATTTAAAGGTTTATAAAGTATTGAAAAGTCTTACATGCAATGTATTTTTGTATGCTAAAGTTTGCCTGAATTAAATCTGTGAACATCAGGATGCTGTGTAGTTTATGAAATCAATGAAATCCTACTAGATTTGACATCATGCTGCTTTGTTTACGGCAGTAACCGAGGCAACACCGTTATTTCTGCAGTTCTACCCTGCTGAATAATCCAGCTTAAACCAGCCTAGGCTGGTTGGCTGGTTTTGGATGGTCGACCAGGCTGGTTTTGGAGGGGTTTTGGCCATTTCCAGCCTGGTCTTAGCTGGTCAGGCTGGGAGATGACCAGCTAAAACCAGCTTGATCAGCCTAGCCAAGCTGGGAGTCCAGCCAAAACCAGCTATATCCAGCTTAAACCAGGCTGGTCAAGCTGGTTTTAGCTGGATTTGGCTGGTCATTTTCCAGCCTGACCAGCTAAGTCCAGGCTGGGAATGGCTGGAAACCAGCCTGGAAGTGGCCAAAACCCCTCTAAAACAAGCCTGGTCGACCAGCTAAAACTAGCCAACCAGCCTACGCTGGTTTAAGCTGGATTTTTCAGCAGGGATAGGCGCCAACCTACTGAATTAGCTTAATTTAATAGATTTTTATTCAGTCTATGAATAATGTTTTAGTTTTGGATTTGTTTCTTACATTAATAATTAATGAATAAGTTAAAATCTCGCCAGTGTTTCTGTTGAAACCTAAAGTGGTTTTAAGGCCTTAAAATGTATGGAAAGATTTTTTTTTAAAGTATTGAATTTCACGCTCTGTAGTCATTGCAATGCACTTGTGATTAAATTAACAAAAACACATCTTAATACCAGGGGTAAATAAGGCCTCATTAGTTGCCTTACATTGGTATAAAAAGGTCTAACTAACTCTGAGTGTGTGTTTGTTTGTGACTTCATGTTCCTCCTTCCAAATTTGCTCATAATTGTTCTAAAAGACTTGGTTTTCTGTTGTTGCAGTCTTTTGTTAAAGATTATATGATAACAATCACCAGGCTCCTGCTGGGGTTGGAAACTACACCACAGTCTGGTTTCCTGTGTGCCGTAAGACTTTTAGAACATTACTCTTTAATAATACCCAGCAAACAATTTTCTTTAATAGACTTCTAATAAACATCCAAATGTAGACAGCTTGGCTAAAACAAGGTTAAACTTGGGCAGTCAGTGAAAATCTAATAGACATCTAAGAGTAGTCCCAAAATAGTTGTCAAATTGATAGATTAAAGAGACTTTATATGTGTAGTCATTCATTTCTGGTTATCTGAAGACTACTGTAGTCTAGTTTTGGCCTATTTTTAGACGTTTTTCAGCCTAAGTTTGGCCCTTGTTTTAGCATAGATAACTATGTTTAGATGTCTATTAGACATCTTTTAAAAACAAAAAATTCTTGCTGGGTAGCTTTGTGTTAATGATTTTATTTTATGTTTTTTCAGTGGTCTTAAAATCTGAAATTACGTTTCAGATGAGCATCACCGAGGAGGACCTATGCATTGAGACATATGGCAGGCTGTACCAAAGGCTTTCCTCCACTGTAGGAGATATTCCCATCGGCATCTACAGGACCAAGTCTCAAACAGTTGAATCCCCTGAGGTAGCATTGTCCATCTGAGATGGCTTTAACAACAGTTTTGTAAGTGTTCTGTGGATAAAGAGGCTATGTTTTTCTTTCATCAAGACTCCACAATTCCAAATGTCAGACAAGGCATCTGTGTTTGATGAGGGCGGAGACCTAGATGAGCAACATCAGAATCTTCAATGCGAAATACCAGACAGTCAATTGCAGACACAGTCTCTGCGTCGGAGAAGCATGCAGTGGGCTTCCAGTCTCCTTGGGCCATGGCACACTGAGCGTGAGGCAGACAGATTGAGTCAGCATCGGGGTGTCCTGCTTTCATGCTCTGAGAGACTGGAGGTCACAGAGCTGGTCAAGAAACGCATGAAAAACCTGGGCCTATCCACTCTGGGATTTGGTAAGATTCAAGTCAAATCATGTTCAGTACGAACTAGGAAGACTCTAAGAATTGTCTGAAATTAATTTTTTTATCAATTATTTTATTTGATTTTAAGAACTCTAGAACCAGGCTTGACTGTTAATATTTGTTATATTAATATTTGTTATATTGTATTAGTTTGGGGACTTCAAAAAACATATCTAAGTTAATGAGATAATTATGCACCTTCACCACGCACACACCCTGTGCAGCAACAGGGCATGGCCAGAGGCGCTGTAATTTTATAGCAGAGAAAGCTAAAATGTAGTTAAATGCTGCTAATTCCACAGAGCTTCTTCTGTTTCTGTATGTGGGCTTCCAAAGGACCTGACACAATGAGAGAAGTGCTTATAATTTAATTATGTTCCAGAGAATTATAAAAAAAAATAAAGATAGATAGCTAGCATTTGACAAAGGACAGCTTAAAGAATCTCTCCCAATTTAGCGCTGGATTTGGCTAAAAACTCCTCTAACCGACGAAGCTGTGGATTGTGAGCCATAACCAGCAAGTACTTTTATTTGTTAAAATTGACCCTTTGCTATGCCCCGCCCTCCTTAGTTACTGTTGCTACGCCTGTCAAGCTTTCGTGCATGGCACGGCTTTTGCAATGTGTTAGTGCTGGTGTCAGACATTGACAGGAATATAATGTCCTTTTTGGCAAACAAGTGAGATATCCGAGAAAGCCAGATGAAAAAGGACTGCAGTATGCATTACAGGGGTATATTCACAACATAATAGGCAACCGATTAGAGAATAATTTTACCAAAATTGAAGCTAGCTTAACCTCATACGTTGACCAATCAACAGCTTAGCGCATAAACAACAGGAAAGGTGACATTTACAAATAATCTAATAACAAATTAAACCGTGATTTCTCCATTTTTAACCAATTTGCTTGATAGACTAATTGTTGTGCAATGAAATATAGCGTTACATACTGACGAGAAAACACAAATGGACAGTGCTTCTACATCATTCATTCATAGAAAGAGCAGTCAGAAAGGGGAAATTGATGGATTTGTGTCGAATAGCATCATTGACCATAACAATGTACAGTAAGTTACCTGTTACTGTCAGTATGTTTCTGTGCTCTTTATACATGACTAAAAAACAGCTGCGGGTAAAGTATATTGATCGCAAGTGTTCAGTTTGTGATCACATATCTGTTTTGTTCTCTTGATTTGTAATTTCAAATATTCGTAGCTTGAAATAAAATGGAAATATGAAGTTCAGTAAAGTTAGCAACAGATTTGCAGATTCTTATTTGCCCGATCAATAACTCATGTCATTATGACCTATTCGCTAATAGTATGACTAACGTTAGTCATGGCAAAGGCTTAAACGGAGCAGTGCTCATAATATCGAGCGAAAAAAAAGAAAAAGACAGCTTTGAAACATAACCTGCTTTGTATTTTTGTAGGAAGCACAGTTTAGATCTGTTTAGGGTAAGAGGTGTGTGAGTTATTGACGTCAGTCACTGAATTTGTCAGGAATATCAAAACAAAACCAACTTATTTCCGCTCCTTTAGTGCCCCTTACAGAGCTTGATCCACACTGGCATTTCTCCGCTTGGGTTTTTGGTTTTAAAAAAGGAAAAAAATTCCACCATCCCGTCCAAACTTTTAGGATACCAGGTGTCAGATTTGCACAATCCATAAGCACAATGCTATGGCCTGTTTCCCTTACTCGAAAGCTTGACAGAGCCCTTCTGCGTAGCTACGGTTGCTAAGCCACGATTGGTGGGTGGCGGTTTTTGGGTGTGGCTTAGCCAAGGGTCAATTGGTCCACTACATGCACAGTTTCTAGCGATAATGGTATGTTGCAGCGAGGACATATACAAGGATGTAAACAATGGGAAATGCTGTTTGGCACCTCTAACAATTTGGCTACAAATTCATGTTTATTAGTCAAACACCTGCAAGCGCACACAATCTTCAGCAGTACTGCAGTGTCTCTCTATGACACTGCTTCCCCTGTGTTTTACATCTCAAATAATAAACCCGCAAAAGATATGATAATGTTTCATATTACTTACACATGCTCATTCGGAATATGTGTGAAAGACACGTCAGAGTTTTTTAGAGAGAGCAGGAGTGAGGTTCAGCTGTTTTTCCTCCACTAAAAAGTTCATTTTGAAAGTTCATGGATAACAAAAATAGCCCAACTAGTATTAAAATTAACTTTATTATGGGCCCGTTTTGCTTTTAACTTTTTATTGGTATTATTTTCTTTCAAGAAGGATTAAGATTCAAAATAAAAGGTACTTGTAGTGAAACATGACTTTACGTTAGATTGTACGTTTTTTCGCACAGCGAATTGTTTGCATTCATTGAAAGCCTTCTTTGATGGATTGTTTTCACAATTTATGATGGCACAGTAGTCAAAATGGGACGAATAAGCTCATGTATGGAACAAATTCTGGACTTTTTAACAGGTCTTTCGAACCACCCGAACCCTCCTTGGCTACAGACCTGTCTAACGATGTTATTCTGTTAAAGTGGTGGTCCACAGTGTATTTTTAAGGCTTGGTTGTGTTTATAAGATTCAGAGCAGTGTGTATGCTTCATTTATAGAAAATCATGTTATTTTTTGATATATCTTACTTTGATTATACACAGCTACTCAGCTATCATGAAAAGGCCTGTCATTTTTCCTAGATCCGCTAAAAGGTCTGCCCTCGAGAGGCTCTGATTTTTCAGCTAACATAATGTGCTGTGATTTGTGGATTGGCTCCATGTCACCACATCATGCCACTACAAGCTTGCCTGTTTTAGTAAAGAGGTTCAACAAACTCGGAGTTTAAACTTGAACTATGAGTTGACTTACTGATAGATTAAAAACTCAGCGTTTTAGGTTTCAGAATGGCTTTGAGTTGGCTCAATCAACTTTGAGTAGACCAACTCAGAATTAAGTGCACACACTGTGACTATAAAAAGGCATTATCAATGAAGCGCAGGTATTTAGAGTGACCATGGCAATATCTGAAAAAAGAGATCATCATTTCTTTTTCCAGCTAAACTTGATGTGCTCATGCAAAGTTATAGCAAACATGACCATATATTTAAAAAACCAACACCACTGCATTAGTGAAACAGAGACAGCGTGGGAAAACAAAGCTGCTCGAGTTGTGTAATTTTACATTTAAAGTATTTAAATATTTAAGTGTAGTAAAAAAGTAATATGTTTAACATTATAAATTTTTTACACACGTTCCCACTTTTATACACGTTGATCATTTTTAATAGATTTAAAAGTGCACTTGTCTGTCTCTAGTTTTGATCAAGTGATAGGTTATGACATTTAAAATGTAAGCAGTATTAAAAAATTGTTTAGGACGAATAATAATCCCATTAATCAAGTAACAGGACATGTCCCTGTCGAAGGTCAGTACATTTAAGCTAATTTATTTATTAAAAAAAGGACAAGCTATTCTGGTACGTGACTTGGTTCTTTGTGTGACAGACATGTAGGCAATAGCTATGTTTCCAGCCAAAAATATTATTTACATTCATGTTTAAAACTGGAATAAAGCATAAATGATGTGCGAATAAAGCAGCGTTTCCATCCAACGAGTCAAAGAGAACAAAATCGTCACTTCCTAATTAACTGGCACCAAATATCTAAAGTAAAATCAGAATTTACTGCGGTAGAAGAAGCTGCGTCAATCTTTTCTTTATTTAATAAATGTACTTGACAATGTCAACACACAATGAACACGTGGGGGCATTTGAAGCCAAGAGACACGGAGGAATTAATAATAGACAATAATACTGAAACGGTTAAGGCGCTTTAGAATGACCAAAACAACATTTCCGATGTTCTGCAGTGTGCTCAGCCTGCTGGTTTGTTTATTCACACACATTTTCATCATCTTCTCTGATAACAAATCTTTTTTTAATGCACATACTGTAATTTGTTCAGCAAAAGTGTTTACATCATAGTTTATGCGCATCTTTTCTTATCGAATAAAAAAGTTTATCCTACTCATTTATGCGCATGTTTTTTATGCTAATTTCCAAAAGTTATGTGCATCATGACGTTTCAATCAATCGTTTTTATGCGCATTTCCAAAATGAGCATTAAAATAGGTGGGTGGAAACGTAAGGCTAAGGCGCGAAATTGTAACGAGGAGACTGACACGGAGGGATCCATTTTGCAGTACTTAATAGACAGTTCAATCACAAACATACAACACGCACTAAAGTGCGAACTTACATCAACAGCATTCAGTATTGGTCGTGGGGCTGGCGGCTGACAGACACAGGGTGATATAACAAGCATGGATCAGTGGCAGGCGGCGTGGTTCAGAGTCCGTATAACAAGCGTGGGTCGTGGGCAGGCTGAAGGCAACTCAGAGTCAGAAACAGTCCGGGGTTATGCACAGGAGATCAGGCAGGGAATAACGCTCAGAAATGTTGGCCGTGGCTGAACAAGACAAGCAATGAACTGGTGTTTGAGTGTGGCTTATATAGGGAGCGTGGGTCATTAACGGGATTCAGTTCAGGTGTGTGCACAATCAGTTTAGGTGGATGATGTAATGCTTAGAAGTCCGGGGATAGCGGCCTCTGCTGGCCAGCGAGGGGAATGACTGGGACCGAGTCGGTGACAGAAATACCACTTCGTCTTTAAAAAAAGAGGAAGAGACCGGCAGAAACTGAGTTTAGAGAATGAAACCTGCTCTTGACGATAACTGACTCAGAGTTAAATTTACCTCTTTTTCAGAAACAGGCTTGACTTACCTGCTATCTCCAGTTTGACAAACCTGCCATTTTGAAACGGAAAACCCAGAGTTTCTCTCATTTCAGGGTTACAGAAATGTGAGTTTTCACTTAACCTCCTTACTAAAACGGACCCACTGTCAGTCAGCGCAGCTGTTTGCAGCGTTAGCTGCTTGTATCAGACAAAAAAAATAATAAACTACAAGCCGGCTCTCTAAAATAAAATCTGACAACTGCCTTTTACTTATATTCAGAATAAGCATGTGTAAGTAATATGAAATGTTCACATTTCTTTTGCGAGTTTGAGGAACGCAGGGAAAAAAGCTACATAGAGAGACACTGGACACACTGCAGAAGATTGTGTGTGTTTACAGGGGTTTGAATGAAAAATATGAATTCGTAGCTAAATTGTTAGCAAGACCAAACAGCATTTCCCATTGTTTACATGCTTTTTTATGTCCTCGCTAAAACATACTGTTAACACTTGAAACTATGCATGTAATAGATCAATTTTAACAAATATAATACTTGAGGTTGTGTCTCAATCCACAGCTTTGTCAGTTGGAGAAGTTTTTAGCCGAATCCAGCACTGAACTGGGAGAAATTCTGGAAGCTATCCTTTGACAAATGGGAGCAATATTTTTCTTTTTCTTTTATTTTCTGGAACCAAATTAAAATTAAACTGTAAACACTTCTCTCTTCGTGTTGTGTCCTTTGGAAGTCAAAATACAGAAACAGAAGATGCTCTGTGGAAAGCAGCGTTTGGATGCCATTTTAGCTTTCTCTGCTATAACATTACAGCACCTCTGGCCACGCACCATTGTGATCTCACAAGCCCTGATGTATTTTTTAGAAGTCCCCAAGTTTCGTTTGCTGCAGGCTTTGCTAAGCTAACTCAAAAGCAGATGTCTCCCTTTGCATTAAACTTTGAGCGCATTACATTCAGAGATGCTGTTTATGTTCAAACAGCTGCTTTACACATCAACTAAAGTGTAAAATATGACACCGCTTTAACATTTGTCTGTCAATCTAGATGAACAGACCAATATCAAGAACAGCCACGCTTACATCTTAATCAACCCATCTTCTGATACAAAACTGGAGCTCAATGACATTGTGTAAGTAAAGCTCAGTTTATTTTACCTCATTGGGAAGTTACATCAAAATCTACCTATGTGTAATGGTTACTCTTAACACTATACAGTGTATGCAGAAAGTATTCACAGTGCTTCACTCTACATTTAATGTCACAGCCTTATTCCAAAATAGGGGATACGCAGAAGGTTTTAATTTTCAATGATTCAGTTTAAGTGTTTCCGTTGAACTCAATTTTAAAATTTACTGTGCGCAATATAAAATGTTGTTCTTCATTTAAAAAAAGAAACAACCTTGCCTGTACTTTTTGATACGTATTTGTTTACTATTAATTTACACTTTTTAACTGCATAATAGGAGCTTGATCTCTGCTCTGACAAATTATGATGTTGAAAATGTAACTAAAGTTTAACAAAGGGCTTTTATCGATATTTGTAGTAGTTTGATATGATGTTTTGTCAAAGTGAAAATATACAGTCTATACTCAAGAATCTACAAAAACAGAAGTAGTACAGTCAGCTTAAGTTTCTGTACTGTATTGTATATGACCAACCTAGAAAATATCTTAATGCTTTATCCAGTGGCGTTGCGAGGTGGGGGGGCTTTGGGGGATTAAGGCCCTGATATATTGTCAAAAGCCCAAGATCTTTTGGAATATGTTGCACTTAAATAAAAATAAGTTGTATAACATTTATTTTGTTATCTAAGTACTTAAAATTACCACATACATCACAGGCATTCCACCTAACGCAGTGTTTGTGTCGGGTGATTAAATAGTCAGCTGCTCAGCAGTACCTGTTTCTACCAGCAGGTGGGAGTGGCACTGTTGTCACATGATGTAAAAAAAATTCCGCCACTGCACTGCCATTCATTCATTCATTATTTTAAGGAGCTGGAGCTGATAAGGTAATAATACAACTGTTTCGGGAAACTAAATAGTTCTAACTACTGATGAAACTTAAGATTTGTTTTCATAGTATAAAATGAGTGTAGTTTTGGTGAATAAAAATAAATGTTATCCATAAAATGTGCATCATATGAATGTAAATACATGCGAATTAGTCAGAAAAACGTCAATTGTACTAGCTTTCTAGATATGATATAGATCGACACATTTATCTAGATATGATAAAGCCAGTCACATCTGTTTCTGTAATAGGTAAATCACAGTGAGTTCATGCATCTAGCATATTATTTTAGATATTCTACTGTAACATGCTGTCAGTTAGCATCAGATTAAAAATTGACTTTCTTAAGAAAATACCTAAGATGGCTGGAAGAACACATACAAACCATTTATTGTCATAGTCATGTAAATCGGTTAATGCCTTTTTATGTTTATTCAGATCTTATTTTTATTCAACTACAGCAATTGCTGGATGCCTTTAGCCATATTAAAGATTTCCTGAAATGTTCAACTACTTTTGTGAGGCGTATAACAGACATGACATGCATTTAAAGTGCTACAATGCCCATATCACCCTGTTTTGAGGAAAACTGAAAAAAATCTCCCTCTAGACAAATTTGAAGTAAACATATTTCTAGCATATAGATCTTTATTATTATTATTATTTTTACTATTGTTGATACAATTTTTATATTATCAAAAATAGTAGCCTATTAAACATCAATATTTTGCAAAGTATTGAATTTAGAAATTCTAGTACCTTGACAACACTACACTTCTTTGGGGCAAAGCCCCTTATCCCTTTTGAACCTAGCAACGCTTCTGGCTTTATCGTTCTTCTTTATAATCACTCAATTCTTAATATCTTTTACTCAATGGTTCAAGGAAAAATCTTTACATCCATAGAATGTAAAAATGTTTTATTTTTTATTAATTATATTATAACTTTTCACTTCATCAATGAACACCAATAAACAAGTTGACCCTTGGATTTAAAATTAATGTCATGGAAAATCATATCTAACTCTGACAGACTTGTTCGTTGGTGTTTGTGTTTGTCTGTAATGTGTGAGTTGGCCTTTAAGTTTCTTTGGGAAAACAAAAAACAAAAAAGAGCGGGTTTAATAGTTTTCTTCTATGGCATTCAATGTGAAATCCCAGTTCTCCCTGCTAACTATTTTTAAGAGTGTTGTCTTAAACTATTAAAAATGTCGACAAAAGTCACTTTGTTAAACTTTTCAACATCACCTTTTTAGCTAAATAAAACTAAACAAATGCAAAACACTCAGTCAATCACACATTTTGGGAATACATTTTTTTACAACTTCTTGTTTGTTCATTTCAGGTACATAATCCGTAAAGATACTCTATCTTCCAAGCTGGACAATAACTAACAGCGCTAAGAACAGCAAGAGAAGCAGGTCACAAAAAAAAGAGGAACACAAAGCTGGATAGTCATCTCTAAACAAACACCTTGCTCTGCTTACAATAATGCATGTCTCAATCATATACATTTACATCATTATTCATGCCTCATGCTCAACTTGACAAAGACTTTGGCTCAGAGTTCTCTGTCCAATCCTGACTCAGTTTAGCCTCAGAATTTCGGCAAGACTCATGTTAACATTTGGCAGAGAGAACTAAAATAAAGAATAGTGCATGGATCTACATCTTCTCATTTCCCACCACCTTGAATAGATGAAGCATATTGACAATGTAGTCAGCTTATTAAAAACACAAAGGAACTTTTTTTGATGAGAATAATTAAAACACTGGGTGTCAACAATCATTTCATTAAAATAACATTTCAACCCCAAAATAAAAAAAACTGTCATTATTTTCTTGCCTACTCTGAAATAATTTGAAGAGCATTGTAGAATCTAATTTATTTTGTCCATAAACCAGTGTTTGTCCCCTTGATTTTTTTTTGCATACTTGTTACACTTGAATGTTTCAGATCATCAAACAAATTTAAAAATTATTCAAAGATAACAGTAAACACATTGTGTTGTTTTCAATAAAGTTTTTTATTATTAAGGAAAAACAAACTTCAAAACTGCATAGCACCATGTGAAAAAGTGTTTGCTTCTAAACCTAAGAACTTGTTGGACCACCCTTTGCTGCAACAACCGCAATCAAGCTTTTTTGATATCTTGCAGCGAATCTGTTACAGCAATGTAGATGAATTTTGGCCCACTCATCTTTGTAGAATTGTTAGATTTCAGCCACATTGGAGGATTTTTTGAGCATGAACTGCCTTTTTAAGGTCAAGCCTCAATATTTCAATTGGATTTAGGTCAGGACTTTGACTCTTTGGCCACTCTAAAGTCTTTATTTTGTTTTTCTTCAACCGATCAGAATTAGACTTACTGGTGTGCTTTGGATGATTGTCCTGTTGCTGAACCCAAGTTCACTTCAGCTTGAGGTTACTAACAAATGGCTGGAAATTCTTTTCATTTTGATACACATGATATTTTAGTACATCGCAAAATTCATGGTTTCATTTATCACAGCATCTTCTTCAAGATCTAGAAGCACCAAAACAGCCCCAGACCATCACACTACTACCAACACGTTTTACTGTTGGTATGATAATCTTATTTATGATATTTTTTAATATGGAAAAATTATATCTGGCTGTTTTGGTGCTCAGTGTTCTGTAGCATTCTAGAAGCATAAAAGGTGGCACTAATCCTCTCAGCAGTATCGGCTGTGTGTTGGGAGTCTTCTGATATCTAATTTAATAGTCCAACTAAATCAGACTATAGATAAAAGGAAGACTGAATGATTTCCGCGAAGAACTGACTGAACAGCTCCTGTGTACAAATTGTAAAATACATCATCAGGGAACATTATGTCTTTGAGTCAGGAGAGCAGGTTCTTGTATCTTTAGTTTCTCCTCCTTTGAAGCAAAGTTTGAGGTGCTGTTTGTTGCTAAATGTAGACTGTGGAATGTATATAATAGTGGCAACTTTGCATTAAAAATGATTATTGTGAAACCCCATTATAAGCAATTATGAGAGTACACTACCTGACAAAAGTCTTGTCATCGATCCCAGTTGCAAGAGCAACAAATAATAACGTGAATTCTAGTCAAGTGGCAGAAAGTAAATTTTTCCATGAATATTCCATGAATATATCCCAATCATCACAAATACTGCACAAGACCTACTGGAACCCGCATGAACCCAAGATTCTCACAGAAATCAGTCAATTATGGTGAAGAATAAATCATGGTTTGGGGTTTCATTCAGTATGGGATGTGTGAGAAATCTGCAGGGTGGATGGCAACATCAACAGCCTGAGGCATCAATAGATTTGGGTTGCCCATTACATTACAAACCACAGAAGAGAGCAAAATATTCAGCAGTATAGGGATCCTTCTCATACTTCAGCCGCCACATCAAAAAGGTTTAGGTGCTCCATGATTGGCCAGCCCAGTCACCAGACATGAACATTATTGAGCATTTCTGGGTTAAGTTGAAGAAAGAGGCCTTGAAGATGAATCCAAAGAACCTTGATGAACTATGGGAATCCTGCATGAACGCTTTTTTTTTTTGTCATTTCAGATGACTTTATTAATAAGTTATTGAGTCATGTATGGATGCAGTCCTCATATGAACTCGGAAGACCATGAGAACACATCCTGTGAGAAATAAGATGCTGCATTTGTAACCCCGCCGGTCCTACACCACCCAACCCGCCCCGAGCTGGGATCAAACCGGCAACCTTTCGCATGGGAGTCGGTTGCTCTAACAAGGCTAAAGTCCATGGCCTCTAGCCTCTGTCGCTAGAGCACCTTTAGAGGTCAGAGTAGTGAGGTTTACCTGCACAGCACACAGTAGCTGGCCTCCGTTACACATTCTTCCTGATGGGCACATGACCTTCTTGTGTTTTTAATAGAAAAATATGAACACATTACAGCATTCATACAGTGATTTATTATTTTCCCCTTTTCACAATATATACTATGCATGCACAGACCTTACAAATATACATTGCACAATATAAACAAAACAGATTTTAATACAAATTTCAGCTAATAAACATCCTTAATGTGTTTATGCCTTTGTTTAGATTTTCATGATAGTGTTTACTTTCACAGTCTCATTTAAGGAAACTCCTGGGGTAAAAAAGTTTTACCTCTGAACTTTAAAAATAAATCTGTATTAAATGCTACACTTCCCACCTCCAATCTCAATGACTTCTGGGACTAGAGCAAGTACTGTGCTCAAGTCTTCATTGATGTGTCCTCGATACCAAGAACACATCTGTGAACTTTCACGCATCCTCCATTCTTGAGTTTTAGAACTGAACTTTGGCAGCTGATGATGACGTTTCACGAGAACACGTGGACACAAGATCGCTGAAGAACACATATTGAGAAACAGCCAAGGTATAAATGAAACTTCCAGCAAGGCACGTAGAGGCAAGTTAAAGCTAAACTCTGCAGGGACACTGGCCCTCCAGGACTGAGATTGGGGACCGTGATTTGATGATCTTGTAGTGTTCAGTAATAACTGGGACTTATGGATTTGTCCAAAGGACAGGCTGACAGCAAATTTGGATAACCATGACTTTGATTGGGCTGCAATATATTACTAAACTGATGTGAAATAGGGGCACCAGCCCAACAGGACTGAGGTTGGTGATCCCCATGATTTAGATGATCTTGTGGCAGACATGGGCCGGTATAAGATTCTGACAGTATGATATCCTTGGATAAAAACATCACGGTTTCACCGTATTGTGATTACTGCTCTAAAATATATTCTTTTTAAATGTCTGGGTAAAAAAAACTAAAACTTTTTTCCCCTTTGAAAACAATATATTCTTTTTTTTTTTTTTTTAAAGATTTGTGAAACCTTGGAGCAGTAAACACGTCAGGCTATATAATTCAAATAAACCATTGACTTCTGCAGTCTTCATTAGTTTTAAAAACACAGATTTCATTACAATTTAAAACATCATCTTTGGATATCTTTTCTGCTAGAGAGATACAAAAAAAAAAAAAAAGTAAATAAAAATCTTACACATACTTTAGAAGCGGTTTTACAGAAAATTTTGGCGGTTTTAAAACCTTGACTTTTCCAAACTGTGGTATACCTTGAAAACGGTTCTCATCCCATCTCATCTTGTAGTGTCCAGTAGGAACATGTACTTGCATTTAAAGGGCCATGACACCCCCCACTTTCGGTTAAAGTCTACTTCAGAATTTTTCAAAAGATGCCTGATTAATGGGCGTGGAGCTCCGCGAGCATCGGGCAGGAGTGGGCGTGGCCAGCAGGGGAGAAGGGGAGCGAACAATTGTTGTTGACAGTTAGCTCACAAAATGAGACACAATCCCTGAGGAGACGCATGAGTTTATAGTTTACAACGTTAAAATGCAAAGAAATAAACCGTAATTTAATGCCCTGCTACATTTGTTATTTGTAATTTCCTATACACATAACCACAATTTATATCATTATAAAGATAAGTGTGTTCATGTAAACACTATAAATGAGGATTCTCCCTCGACCCCCGGGTCTATTATAGATCTGAATGCAGACTCAGTGCAGCAGGTCTCCTGACCTGTCTATTTTAACCATTAGCCCTGCTGGTAATACAGAGGATTTAGGCAAACACAGCAGCACGGCGATGTGTCTGAATGTGAACGAACTCCTGATACAAGTCAACATCCGCCATTCTTCAATTCTCGTGTTGCTCTCCCGACAAAAATGCTTGCAGCACACACACACAGCTTTGCTGTATGATCGGCCCTGACAAGATCGCGGGGATAAAACATGCAACAAACCCCGTGGATCATGGAAACAAACACATACGAGCCTTCATGAATGGCTACTGCGTTCCGTTGGTCTGTGTCTCACAGCTTGCTTGAAACTGGCAGGTCTGCCTTCGGAATGCACGTGGTCTCATGAATAATTAAGCAGCCGGCTCTTCCTATAGGATAAGAAAACTCCGCTATGAATAATAATGAGAAACCGACGCGTCATGATTTCACTTGCAGTACTGTGCTACGTCGCCGATTTTGATCCCTCCCCAAAAATCATTTGAAACCCGGAAGCTGAAATTAGCTGACAAAAGCTCAAAATTATCTAGTTTTCCCCACAAACAAAGCTGACAGGTGCTAACATTGTCTTAACTGATGCTCAACACAAACAAATCTGTTAAAATAAAATAAAAAAATTCTCCAGGGTGTCCTGAACCTTTAATGTGGATACATGGTCCAAAAGACAGATTGACAGCAAATTTGGCTAAATTCTTTGCTTGGGCTGTAAAATGATTAGGTATAGTGATGCTGGACCAATCAATACTCAATTTTAGTGTTTTCAAGATAGGCCTGCAAAGAAAGAAAAGCTGATGTATTTTTTAAGCTTGAGTTACCCTTCCTTTATTATATTGGGTTTTTACATGATGATATTTTGAAAGCCAATACAACATTTGCTCATTTGACAATGTTCTTCTGCTGTTTTTGATTAGAATATTAACACTTGAGGGCGACATGGTGGCTCAGTGGTCTTCACAGCAAAAAGGTTGCTGGTTGAGCCTTAGCTGGGCGAGTCGGCATTTCTGTGTTCGTGTAGGTTTCCTCCGGTTGCTAACGTTAACTAACATGAATAAATACAGTAGTAAATGTATTGTTCATTGTTTGTTCATGTTAGTAAATGCATTACTTAACATTAACTAATGAACCTTATTGTAAAGTGTGACCCCCACTTGTTTTGGGACATGATGTACTGTACTGCTGATCAATGTTGAGGACATCCTCAACTGCCAATTTTAGACAATGATTTAAACTGTAGTTAGCAA